AAGGAGCGGCAGAGACAATGTGTGATGAACTGACCGCAAACCCCATTCACCATCCCCCTGTGCTGCTCGGGGGGAGGAGGTAGAGAATTCAGGAGCGAAGTTGAGCCCAGGAAGAAGGGAGGGTGGGGGGAAGGTGTTTTAAGACGTCTTTTTTATTTCTCGTTATCCTACTCTGATTTGATTGGTAATAAATTAAACTAATTTCCCCAAGTCGAGTCTGTTTTGCCTGTGACGGTAATTGGGGAGTGATCTCTGTGTCCTTATCTCGACCCACGAGCCCTTCATCGTACTTTTTCTCCCCCTGTCCAGTTGAGGCGGGGAGTGATAGAGCAGCTTTGGTGGGCACCTGGCGTCCAGCCAAGGTCAACCCACCACAACTGCATGAGTCCACTATCCACTATCCATAGATTTTCCACTATGGAAAACCTCTTTCATCTCAGCAATAACTTGTGTAACTGGCAAGTATTGAGCAAGTAAATCTCATACCTACTGATAGCAGAAGGCTTAAGATATTTGCAACTTTCACATTCCTTGAATGTTTATTAGTATGGATAATTAGTAGAAAATAATTATTGATCACTTTGAATGACACACATCTGTCTGCTGTTTTACAGACTGCGTTGATGAAAACACCACAGCAAGTAAAGAAGAAAAAAGGTTACTATGTAATACTGTTTATATTTCCATAAAATTATTATGTTTACTTACAACTGGGCCAGGTGGGCCTTGTGGGCCTTCCCCTCCTTTCAGACCAGCTGGACCCTAAAAAATGGGGGGGTGGAAAAAAAAAGCTTATCTCTTACACTAGAAAGATCAAGAGTCATTTTTGCAACACATGTAATAGGAAGAATGTAAAAATCCAAAGACAGAAAACTGAATAAATTCCTTTTTGCTTACATAGCTAGTGATACTTAACAATGTTGCATGCTTGATGTCTGTTCTCCTACTGCATTCGTTTTTAAGCACAGTAGAAGGTTCCATAAAATAAAAGAGTTAATCCATTGTTTCTTGTATTTAGAAACATCATATCAATTGTTCTAGTGCTTATATCATACCTGAGCGCCTGGAAGGCCTCTCTCTCCAGGGAAACCACGAAGACCTGCTGGTCCATCTTTCCCAGGAATGCCTTGAGGGCCTGGGTCACCCTGGGAAATATATTACATTTTGATTTAAGGAAAAAAAGTGCAAACTGCTTATGTTAGTAATTACATGAGTGAAGAAAATGAAATACCAGGTCCTAGTTATAGTAATGACAAAAAAGAGTACGCCCCCACCTAATTCTTTTAAGATTTTCAGTACATTAGTCTATCAATATGGTTAAATTTATAACAAGCTCTGACAAAATACAGTATTATTTATAGAATATAAATAGTGAAAAACACAGCAAGACATAAAAATGTTTAAAGATACATTCATTAAAAATTTACAATGCCTATTTAAAATGGAAGATTGAATAAAATTACATAGTAACTAGATAAGCAATATTTTTCTTGTGCCCCAGTGGTGGCCAAAAAGTAAGCAAAGAGCTAAATTTAGTCAGTGAAATTCTGCCTTGCAGCCAGTACTACACATCCTACTTTAAATGCCAGTGTACAATTTTCCACCTTGGTGTGAACATGTCATTATTACGTCTTTCCATAGTCAATGTGTGGTATATGTAAACTAGTTTTTTATTTTTTATTACAAAATTACTGATTATTGGCTCAAGAGAATTCTCATTATTTCAATGGAAGCAGACACAGCTCTAAAATTGGAATGTTCCAGTCTTCAAAATCCTTCTGGGTGAAACGCGCTAATCATGATTTTATATTGTATGCTCTGATTTTATTCTGCATGTTCAGCGTGATGATTCGAAAAGTGAGACTGGTGGCAATTTATCTGTCCCTTCTAATTTGTTCCCCAGAGCCACATCATACCTTAGCACCTTCTTTTCCTGCAGCACCTGGGAGGCCTTGTTCGCCTGGTGGGCCAGGAGGACCTGGATGACCTCTTTCACCAATTGGGCCAGTCTCCCCAGTAGGACCCTAAGCACAAAAGTAAACCTTCAGTCACCTCAAGGTATTTAATGTCTTGGGGGGGTGGAGGTGGGGAGAAGCAGATTCTTAATATCCAGCTGTTATGAATATCTGTTAGAAAACAGTATTACCACTGGTTAGCATACATTCCTCACCTTCCCTCCAGGCAAAGCTGACTTACGAAATATCTTTGTCCTATAAAATAAATCTTGCGTTGCATTCTGCCTGCAGACGCGTCTGTACAGCTTCCAAAGAGTGAAATCCCGACCTTCCTCCTTCAGCAATGAAACTTTGAAACGGTGCGTACCCACGTATGGGAGGAGGTTACAAAAAGGACACGGGAGGGAAATCCATGTACTACGTTTGTCTTGAAACACTGTCTGTACTGTTGTTTTTCTGAATAAGATGAATTGGAAGGTAGGAGAGTTGAAAGATATCTCTTCAGATTCACTAGCAGAAAATTTTCACTGAGGGAATTACCTAAAAAAGCTCATGCAATCCAAATGCTTGATTTTCTTGCAAATAAGTAAGATTAGATCAAATAAAATTTTGATAGTGAATCTCTCCACAATCTAAAAGTGACTGAAATTTGGCCTCTGACAAGAAGGTCACATGTTGTATTGTTCCTTCTAAACTATTTCATGGTAGAGAACTCTGTCTTCTTGACTTCTGTAAAGCACCAACTTCTTAATCACATGAAGAAAACACACAAAAAAGGAAGTGGAAAGGTAACCCCAACATCTGCGTATTTTGTGGAATCACTAATGATCACTAAGTACACCTTTCTAAAATTGTTATGCATAATTTGTTACAGAAGTTAATATAACCATCAATATGGTCCTTTTAATACAACAAAAGCAACCGCCTTAGCCATAATATAACCATTAAACATTGGTCTTATGAAGTTAACTATGAAATTAAATGATATACCTGAGGGCCAACAACACCACCAGGACCAGGAGGACCAGTTTTTCCTTGGAAACCCTGTGAAATAATTATAGAATACCATGTTACCCAGGACAAGATACAGAAGAGCAAAATTCATATCTGTGATGAAGATGAGAAAGAGAAATCCCATGTCACACATTCCTTCCCTTCAGGAAATAAAAATGAGAAATTCTTTTTTCCTGTGTGTACTTAGAAGTGAAATACTGATGAATCTTTCTCATCTCTATCAGTTCCAATCTCTCTGAGGTGGTACAGCAGTAAAAATACCAGTCAATTTTACAGATCTCTCTAGGTGAACCTGATTAGGTGAGTCTGAGTGCATAAGTGATGCAGCTAAAAGACAGCTGAAAATACATTTTTACATATATAATTTTTACAGATCTCTCTAGGTGAACCTGATTAGGTGAGTCTGAGTGCATAAGTGATGCTGCAAAAGACAGCTGAAAATACATTTTTACATTATATACATTATGAATCATAAGACAGACATACAAATGCTTTTTAAGAAAGACACAGACGGTGGATTTAGTTGGAGGGGCATTAAAGATAAAGGGGAGGTTAGACAGAAAGAAAATGAAAAGAAATAGAGATCCAAGGAAGATGAAGGTTGTATAAAGACGGTAAAAAAGGCAGCATGAGTGCCACAAAAAGAATGAAGTTAATGAGAAATTGATATGATGACGAAAACTGGGAAGCAGAGCATAGAAGGGAAATGTTTTTGGGACAGTTTTTCAGAACACTGGCAAATTTTACTGAATTTTTATTTTCTAATCAGTGGGCCCAGATTTCCGTCTAAAATTAGTCAATAAGCTGAATGACAACCTCACTTTATAGTAGCAGTGTTTAATGTATCTTTGAAACGTGCTAAATTATTTCTTTCAAATATTGGAAGTGTGTTGCTGCATAAAGTTAGGAGAGTGCATTCACTGCTGTATCACATCCAGGGTTCCACACAGCATCCCCTGCCTAGCAGCCTGTATCTGCCTCCTACTCTGCTCACCTGTGTGAAAACAAAGGTGTCATCTGGCCCACATTTCTTATAAATGTTGGGCCCTGCTCAGCATTCCTCTGGGCACAGTCTCATTGACAGTTGCCCCATTTCATCAGATCCGTTTTAAGCTTTTTTTACCTTCCTCAATCTGATTCTCTTCTTGCTGCCAGCCAGACGTTATCATAGAATCATTGAGGTTGGAAAAGACCTCTAAGATCATCGAGTCCAACCGTCAACCCAACACCACCATGTCCACTAAACCATGTCCCTAAGCGCCTCATGTCCAATCTAAACCTCCCCTGGTGCAACTTGAGGCCATTTCCTCTCGTCCTATCGCTTGTTACTTGGGAGAAGAGACCGACCCCCACCTCGCTACAACCTCCTTGCAGGGAGTTGTAGAGAGCGATGAGGTCTCCCCTCAGCCTCCTCTTCTCCAGGCTGAACAACCCCAGTTCCCTCAGCCGCTCCTCATCAGACTTGTTCTCCAGACCCCTCACCAGCCTCGTTGCCCTTCTCTGGACACGCTCCAGCACCTCGACGTCCTTCTTGTAGTGAGGGGCCCAAAACTGAGCACAGTGTTCATGGTTCAGTTTGGCCCATAACTGTTTAGGCACTCTCTCTCAGACCTCTGAAATGATCCAGATTAAAAACAAATACAAAAGTACCCCTTTGCTCTAATGACTGAAAATCAGAACTGCTGCAGATGGAATCATTCATGTGTCCCTTCCCTTACACGGTCAAAGCTTCTTCTGAAGCCTATTGCAAGGAAAGACAAAGGAATGTTGAATATTACCCATTTCCTGAAAGTACCTTGAGAAGACCTGCTATTCCCAGGTTTGCAGAATGCATTGATTCTTTGCAGTCTATTCAATGATTCTTGATGCTAATGATGGTTTTACTACTCTGCTTTCTCTCTCGTGTCACCAACTTATCTATTCCTACAGATTCAGATTTGTAAAAGAAGTAATAAGCAAAGGAGATTTCGGCAGCAAATACTCAAGATGACCTGAACATCCCATGGGTTCATCTAAAATATTTAGTATTAAAAAATTTACACTAATGTCTCATAACTGTAAGTGCCTAATTAGCCTCCATTTTTTTTTATTTTCTGTGAAAGACAATTTAATAAAACTGAGTTTATTGTAGTAAGAAGAAGCTCCTTGACTAATTCTAATAGACGAAACAGCTAGTATACTTCTATTTTATCCTTTCACAGGCATGAAACACTAAATTCTTGCATAACACCAGACAATCTAACAATCTCTGCAGTTGATGCTTCCTGCCAATCTGAGATTGATATCACTGAAATTGATAATCACTTCTAAGGACAAACTAGCTTAATATTGTTTTTCGGTATCTAGTTTATTCCTACATTTATACTCCAAATTATTTATCACGGTATTACTGTTCCTATGTCTAGAATTTAGGCAAATAATGGCAGTTCTTCAAAGCGCATGTGGCTTACTGGGGGAAGAAACCGTAGCCTTTTCTCCACTAATACTTACCTCAGTTGTCGTCAACATATGCTTATTATTCCATGAGCAAGCTGCAGAGTGCAATCTGGGAATCTGGCGCTCTAATTTGTTAAGCTTGCATATGTCTCTCAGCCTACATTGTTGTAATGCCCACATGCACCACTGAACTTTAATGAGATATACGCCTAAATAAGAAACAGAATGCTTAAGACCCTGATTTACCAGTGAGTGCAATGAATGTTTTCTGATTTATACATTTTAAAAAAATCTGAAATGGAAATGTTCGTTGAAAAAAGAAGCCAACAAGTCTACTTTTTGTTTTTAAAAAACCCTGTTTTTCTACAAAAACATATACATGAGAACCCATGGGGAAAAAATATTTTTAAAATAATCCTGGCCCAAGTATACATATACACAGGGCAGAAAACAATGCTAACGAAAAGCTGCATTTGCTCCTAAATTACTCAAGTTTTATGTCAGTCTAACCCTACTAAACCAAAGGAGATACAAAATTAGAGAACCACAACATTGATTGAACCCAGAGGGACATGGTCCAAACATCACACAGTAGCAGAGTCCATAGTTTCATTGTATTTTGCATCTTTCATTTCTAGTCACGAGTGAAATCAAGAAATTATAGAATGGTTGAGGTTGGAAGCGACCTCTGGAGGTCATTTGGTCCAACTGCCCTGCTCAAGCAGGGCCACTGAGAGCCGGTTGCCCAGGAATATGTCCAGACAGCTTTTGAGTATCTCCAAGGATGGAGACTCTGCAGCCTCTCTGGGTAATCTGTTCCAGTGCTTGGTCACCCTCACAGTAAAAAAGTGTTTCCTGATGTTCAGATGGAACCTCCTCTGTTTTAGTTTGTGCCCATTGCCTCTTGTCCTGTCACTGGGCAACACTGAAAAGAGCCTGGCTCCATCTTCTTTACACCCTCCCTTCAGGTATTTATATACTTCGATAAGATTTGACCTGGGCCTTCTCTTCTCTAGGCTAAACAGTCCCGGCTCTACCAGTCTCTACTCATAGTAGAGATGCTCCAGTCCCTTAATCATCTTAGTGGCCCCTTGCTGGCCTCTCTCCAGTAGGTCGCTCTCTCTTGCACTGAGGAGCCCAGAACTGGCCTCAGCAGGGCTGAACAGAAGGGAAAGATCACCCTGCTGCAGCCCAGGACACTATTAGCATTCTTTGCCGTAATGGCACGTTACTGGCTCATGTTCAACTAAATAAGAATGAAGGGAAAATAGTAATTGTGCTTTTTCTTATCAGACTAAAGGACAATTTTGAGCTTCCTGCATTCGGAACAATGATCCAAATTCATTTTTATGGTACACAAGACTAGTCTTTGCATAATTGCAAAGAAAAAGAACAAAGAAGCAGTCAGTAATGTTTCTCTCACACACAAAAAAGCCACCATCGTTGCAAAGCATTACAATGCTACAGTACTAGTGGAAGAAAATACAGTTTTTCAGAATGATGTGTTACTTCAAGCTATGTGCTCTCCCTTCCAGCAGTGGAAGTGACTCAGCAGTCACTAACAGATTTCCAGTGAAGCTGGAACCCAAAACACATTCTACATGCTGAGAAAATTTCTCTCTAAATTCATTTATGGCTTTCTCTAGCTCTGAAAAATCCGAGTAAGAATTTTATCTTATTTCAGTGGGACAGGAGTAAGGTTTTGGCACTACAGAAGTAGACAGTTTTGGAACCCAAAACACATTCTACATGCTGAGAAAATTTCTCTCTAAATTCATTTATGGCTTTCTCTAGCTCTGAAAAATCCGAGTAAGAATTTTATCTTATTTCAGTGGGACAGGAGTAAGGTTTTGGCACTACAGAAGTAGGCAGTTTTTTTAAATAATTCCAGTAAAACTGTTACATGTTAATTTTTTTCATTTTGCTGCCAGAATTTATTCATCTTGATTCTTAGGAGGATTACATAGGATATAGTTTCAAAATTTAAGATTTTTTTCACAGGTTGAATCATTCCTGATCCTACTTTCCAAAGCTGTTAGCTTTTGAGTTTCCTAGCTGCTTACCATTAGTAAGACTTTTTATTATATTATTTATGTTACATGGCATTCAGTGAGAAAAGAACCATATAGTAATCGCCTGACAAATCTTTATTAAAATGGAGATCTGAGTATTAATTTCTTTTACTTCTAATAACTATTTAAGCTCATTGTGATGTTACTAACCAGGCACAGCAAAGAATAACCTCTCTCTTGTAGCACGGAAACAAAATAAAGCTTTCTCATACCTAATCTACCAACTGTAAGAAAACTACAGCCTCTTCCCCTTTTTCTCTGTTGTCTCCGTTTCTTTAGTTTTGACCACACAGTCATGGCCTTTGGAGGTTTACAACACTAGCACAGTAGAGTACATTTACTTACAGTCTCACCCCGCTGCCCTGGGTGCCCAGGCAGGCCGTCTTTTCCAGGTGGCCCCTGAAATTGTAAAATACATAAATCAAAGCATTTCTTAGCCATCCTTAATTCTGAAAAAAAGTGTGCAATTAGCTGTAAGAACCTCTGATCTCTTTGTTTTTTCTAGACTAGGCTTCAGTACAGCTTAACTGCTCCTACATCAGCTAACTGATTTTAATAACACATTTGCCTTATGTCCTCCCTGATGTGTGTTAGCAATTTCTTGGAGAGTGACTGTTAGGTTGTCAAATGCATGCATGTTCAAAATGGATTTCTGTAAATTCAGAAATCATGGGAAGTCCCTATAGTTCCCTTCCATTTTTCTTTGCTTAATGACTCAGTTAACACAAAACTACGCATTACAGGAGTATTTGATGAAATTTCAGGTTTTGGCATTGGAAAAAAAATAACAAATGCATGGGTGAAAAAAATCACAGGTGGTTTGATGCTTTTGTACTTACTCCACATGAGCTGAAACACACTAGAAGAGCAGTATAACTAGTTCAGGCTGCAGCTCAAATGTGCTATTACTTCTATACATTTCTGCTACTAATGAATGTCTCCTTCCTCTTCATTTTTTCCTCAACAAATCAATTGTTAAAAAAAATATACACCAGCAAACTACTATTTTGCCTAAACTCAGTCTGTCACCTGGACATTGGCATCAACATACTAGAAGACTTGCAGTTTAGTACATTATGCTGAATGTCATATGAGCTGCACCTATGATAATTTTGAATATGTGCGTTCTTGTCTTAGCCTTAAAGCTAGTATATATAATAGCATATTTGTAATCTATACATAAACCATCCCTTAAATAAATCTTCAAGTACTAACTTCAGAAACATTGTATGAAAAATAACATTCCTGTTGTTGCACATACTTAATTAAAAAGATACTTACTGGAGGTCCCTTTGGTCCGGGGAATCCAACAGGTCCCTGAGGCCCTTGTGGTCCCTGGTATAAAGGCAACCAAACACGTAAAGTTTTACTCTAGCTGCCATGACACTGGATTGCAAAGTTTGCTATGAACTCTGCACATAATGTTTGGTTATAAGCATGAAGCGTCAGCTCCACTGCCATAAATATTGGTAGCAACAATTCACATGCACCAACATTGGAGGGGATTTCCTGAAACCAATACTGCCTGTGTAGGAATGCAGTAAGAAAAAAGAAAAACTACTTATATAAAGTATGTCTGCGTCTGACCCCTGAAACTGTGCATAATAAAGTAGGAATCAACTGTGAGTAAGAAACATTGCATAAAACATGGGAATTAATTAATTAATTAATAGTCTGGTGGTCTTTTTAACTTTGAGTCCAACATTCATCTTTGGCAGTTCTTACACTCTGACAATATTTCAAGCCACAACAAAAGTACAAACTTCCAAATAGAGTAAGCTTTCCAGAGTTACCAGGGACTAAATACAACATTCTTGCTATCATGAAAAATAGCTGATAGCTGAAAAAATCCCCATGACGCATGAACATTTTATTTATATAGTTTTGTATATACACATATATATGGAGAGAGACAATTTTCATGCAACATGGTTTTACAGATTTAGTTAAAGATGATCATGAGTTAGTGTAAACATGGTTTTACAGATTTAGTTAAAGATGATCATGTGAGTTAGTGTATTGTGTATGTATATGTACAAGTATATACATATACATGTGTACATACACGTATGTCCACGTACATCTATACACATAGATATTTACACAAAGCACTAGCTTACATGACTAAGTTATCACCAAACACAACGGAGGCCAGCTTTTAAAATTTATTGCTGATATGCTGAAAGGGACCGTGTCAGCTTATTAAAAGAATTTTTCCTGTTTATTTTTTAGTGTGCTAAGTCAAAGAGTAGCAACTTGAAAAACCTTATTTATTTTACGTGGTCCCACAGCAGAGCCATGTACCCTAGTCATATAGTGCAAGACTTTACCCTATTCTACTTGGTATATGACATCTGGTTTTGCCAACACATCAGCTGTCAAAATATGTTAGAAATGTTGGTTTGAAGTTTGATGCAAAAGACTTGAAGCAGGAGGCCACATCTCCCAAATTATGCTACTCTTTTGCTCCTCTGATAAAGCGCCAGCTGTTTCTGAGTTCCATAAACCTCACTCATTAGAGCCCAGGCTCACTTCCAGCGCGTGGCTGCCTCCTGCAGTAGGCGAAGCAGTGTGTGAATGTAGCTGTGGGAGAGGATCGCTTGTGCCCAACCTAGGAGAATTTGCCCTTAAGTGAATCTTATTGCAGGGCAGACCTTGATTATACTGTAATACTAAATCTGAGTCAACTAAGAAGCGCTAGGTAAAGGAAGAAATCTTTACGATCTTACTGCACCATCCGTCATTTTTATTTTCTCTTCCAAAACAGGTGTAAGGTTGTTTCTGAAACCTCCATAGCACACAAATATGCTCCATATGAGGGTTTGGGGTTTTTTTAATGCTGCTGTCTCTGTGAACAAATGACCTTTCCTCATTTGCTTCTGGGTATAACATAAAACATAAAGTTTCACAAAAAAATGAAGGAGTTTTATAGAGGAAAACTATTAAAATTGACTCAGCTGCTGTACAAAATATATGAAAGAAATTGGTCTCTCTGAGGAATTGGGTTATAAGAGCACAACTCAAAGTTTTACTGTTAGTTGCACCTTCTTTCTCATAAATTCCCACTGTACTTTGATCCTCACATCTTGAAGCTTTTTAAGGAAAGAAGATTTGCATTTTTTTTAATTCACAATATGGCTTGCAGATTTCAAGCTGCTGGACTGATGGATTATGTGAGAAAAAGCACTAGAATACTAACAGCATGTTATCAAAATTACATTCTCTTTTTTGTCATTAAATTTCATTTTAACAGTAGCTACACAGGACAGATTAGTTAATGTTTACATGTCTGGTACCTGAAATAGTCTCAGCGGAGTAGAAATGACAGTTTTATTTTTTGGCTGAGATTCACCCCTATTGGGAAGCAAATAGATACCCCACACTTATATTACACGAGTGATATGAGACGTGGTGCTCTGCGATTCTTCATCTCTTTGCTCTAATCAATTTCTCTCCAGGGATGCCTTCATCTTGGATTGATCTGCTCACTGTTTTCAGTCCCCCCACAGCTTCTCTTCCTCACAACCTCTTGGAGCTGTCAGCAAACTCCTCCTTCACACGGCTCTGCTATTCACCTTCTGGTAGTCTGCCTCTGATGTTCCCCCCCAGCGTAAAACAACCTACAGTTCCTTTCTTGGACTATGCCTAGTTTTCTACACCCAACATCCTAGTTGACTCATTCCTCTCTTGAATCCCAGCTTCCTGCCCCTGTGTCTCTCTTACTTGCCACATCATTCCTGTTTCACCCAAACTTTCAGTTATTCCCCGCTCTCTATGTTCCACTTGGTACATTGTCTTTTGCTTGATACAGAGGTACTTTCAACTTCTTACTGCAGCCTCCCTTGGAGTGTTGCCTTCCATACGTACGGGCTACAGTCTAATTCTCCAGTCCCCAACTTTCCTTCTGTTCTCCTGTTTCCTAGCAGCCTCCCTTGGAGTGTTGCCTTCCATATGTACGGGCTACAGTCTAATTCTCCAGTCCTCAACTTTCCTTCTGTTCTCCTGTTTCCTGTTTCCTTCTGTTCTTCTGTCTCCTACTTCTCCTCCTTACTGCAAGAACCACTGTCCTGCCCCACTAACCAGTCTCTTAGACAGTTAAGTAATATTCTGCTTCAGGAATGAAAGAGCTAAAACGATGAGTACGAAAGGTTTTTAGTAAACTAAAACTTTTGTTTCCAGTGTACTTGGTATTAATTTTTTTGGCATGTGCTTTAATGGCTTTCAGTCAAAAGGAAAGGAATCCTTTTCTTAAGCAGAAAAATGTGATATGCAGGCATGTGCATTCCTTTACGTGTGTACAGCAGACAGATGTTTATTAATACTCTACTTGCAACTGCTAAGGATAAACCAAACAAAATTAACCTTAATTGCTTTCTGCAGACACACAAACTGAAAATTCGAGATTTCTAGAACACACTCATGCCATGCTCTTGCTATCATTAGTTTTATGGATGTCCTTATCTCCAGTAATCAACTCAATCAAACCATGTGGTCTGATCCTATGGCCTTTTTCCTTTTTCAGTTTGCTTAGTCATTCTAGCAAAAACGGTTTGCTGTTCCGCCAGTATTGTTACACCAAGCGTGCATGTATTCAGCAAGGAAATAGTGTAACAAAGCGACGTTACGGAAGGGGGGAAAATGCACAAGGAACTCCCTCCTGAGGAGTAAGACTTCTGGAGATCACTGGGACTTGGGGGTGGGTACTGGGAAAGGATTTATAGATTCTCCACACAAAAAGGTTAGCAGTTTAATGAAATATGACTACGAAAGAAAAGTTTGTTCTTAAGCTTTGCAAAAATACTTTGGCAGAGAGCATGTCCACTTAAACTATCTGAGTCGGTTTTCAAGTGCTGCAATCTGATTTATTAATATTGTTTTTCTGTTATATACTGCTGTGTAATGGGCTGACTGTATATTGGATTTGTGTATTGATTGGTAATATAATAGCAAGCAGAAAATTTTATTTTAGCAAGCACAACAGGATTTCTCAAGCAAGCAGAAAGTAGGCTGAAGGGAATTCTTAGCTGATCAGAACAAAAAAAATCAGCTGCTTTAAGAAAGAAGCTTCTGGAGATGGCTCGAGTGATTTGTAAATCCCATAAACAAGCAGTACGCTGCAGTAAATGGGGCATCCTTAAGAGCATAGGCTGGTAAGTACAACTGTAATTTGCATGGATAAATACGAAGTGCATGGATGTAATACAAAGTGTGTATGTAATTCTGTGTGTCCTATTTGTACAAAACCGAGCTACAGATGGAAGAAGCTTTCAGCAAACTTCAGCTACCCCTTTCATAACTTTGTGAAAAGCATCATTGGAATTGAGGCTTTGTCAGTTCTGCTTACTCTGGTCGAAGAAGGGCAAAGGCATGAGAGGGAGAATTAAAACAACCCTCCCACCCTCAAATCACACTCCTACATAGTGGGAAAAACAGCATGTACGTAAAAGCTTTCACATACCCTTTCACCTGGTGGGCCAGGAGGACCATCATTGCCTGCAGTACCCTAGAAAGCAAAGACAACATGTTCAAAGGTTAGACCTCTATTTTATTTAAAAGAAACAGCCTGTAGCCAACCTGTACATTGTGCTTGACAACTACCTTTGGACCTGGTTTGCCAGTGGGACCTCTGGGACCTCTTGAGCCTCTTGGACCCTGTCAATTTAACACAGATGCACTTGAGGGTAATTATTGGATACTGTAATCAAATCAACATAATTCTTCACAGTATAGTGGAGGCAAGTAATATAGGAAAGCCTCTAAATTGCAAAGCAAAAGTACATACTGTTGGTCCTCGCTGTCCTCTGGGGCCTGGTTTGCCATGTAAACCCTGTAGAGAAAAGTTCACAGAAATCACCTTAGCAGACACTGTATTTGTGAGATAAAGGGTTTTTTTTACTGAAGTGGGGGCAGAGTGCAACTCCCTTAGGTTTAAATGTTATCTTTAAGTATCTACTTTGCATTTCAATTTACAGAATCATGGTCCTTGATAAAATTGATTATCTTTCTGAGTTCACCGGGACTTGTAGCTAAATGCACTGAATTTGCCTCAGAGTCACATTCTGTCATAGGTGTTAGAACATTTTAAACTACTTTAAAATAGTAGCGAAGATGGCACACAACAAGCAGAGTCCCTCTGCAGCAGTCTAAAGCACTTGGCATCATTTCCAGTGTAATAAAAGCCTTGAAGACAAAGTTCCCAGGTTCCCATGGACAGCTCCACAGGTTAACAGCGCAAAGAAAGGGCAAGCCTCTCTTTTTTTATAACAGAAATAGGGACTGTAATACCTACAGGGATTCTGCAGACTTGCATGGAGATACAGAACTTGCCAGAATACTAGCCCTTAATTTTTTGCTTCAATATATCTCCTAATCATACTCAACAGATTTCTTTCCTTAGGCTCGGCATTAGTATTGCTGTGCATTCTAATGCAAAGAAGCTTATAATTCAATAGAGTATTCTTTAGGTAGAAAAAGGAACCTGATGACTGGTACTTTCTAATCTCTGAGGTAAACACAACAGCAACAGAAAATCAGCAGAGAGGTTTTAGCACAAAGCTTGCTTTTATTGGAAACCAATTAAATGCACACACCTGTTTTCTTGAGGGTTTTTTTTATATAGCTTTTATTTCACTTATCAAAATAAAAATTATGTGTTGTTCTTAAAATGCTACACAGCTTGTGAACTTCTCAGGGACAATGACTGTCCTTCCTAGTACCAGTGTGCGTGGTAGCATAAAACACAATGATATCCCTTTAGGCAAGGTGTATAATAATACCTGATTCACATTACAAAACCAGCAGTTATTGTCTCATTGATGATCAGCATAATACTTAAGTATGCTGCATAGACATTCTATGCATGCAGTTTCATGGTATTAATTACGTGGTTAGTATCCTAACTGAATTGAAAGCTTTATGAAGGCCTGATAACGGATCAATATAATTAGATTTTCATAATTTTAAGTCTGGTCTTTGATGTTATCATTTTACTTGTTTTTTTAATCTGATATCTTGATCAGCAGTCATGTCTCATTTTTCCCAACAAGGATGAACTGAATATTGTTTTATTGCTTGTGTCTGTCCATAACAACATATCTTTATCTTAGCTAAAATAATACAAGAACAATTTAAACCATACACAAGCAATGCAAATGCAATTGGATTTCATACATTTCATCTTAAAATCGTGTTGCTTTCGTGCTGCAAATTAAAATAGATTCTTAAGAACAATGATACACATTACTTCAGTTTGACTTTAAGTTGCTATGATCTACGGATTCTGACTCATTCTCTTAATTTCATCATCTTTCTAACAACATGTTCTGCTATGTTCAATTGAGCTTTAAAGACGACGGCACAGTGACCTTCTTTCTAACCTATATTTCATTTTTACAGTTTGAAGAATATGCATAACAGATTTTCCCTTACCTGCTTCAAGTAAAGAAAGCAGCAAAAGCTGTCATTTTACATCTATTTTTTAATATATGTAATAGTATATGTTCTTCATCTTGTCTGGTATATTTTGCATTTTCGAAGCTCAGCCTATAAAAAAGCTTGTGGCAAATCAGAATACTTATGAAATACAAGTTGAATTTCCTTAAGGGTAAATTGCATGGTAGCAGGATAATTCATGGGATACAGGAAAATAGTCCTTGCCAACTCACTCAGCTATACTGTCAAAAAAGATGCTTCAGCAAAGGTGATTTCTTGTCTCTTTTTCAAATATATAATTGTGGTAGCATACGCAGTGAGAAAGTGTCCAAGTTCCTGCGTATTTAGATTAATACCTTAAAGAATGAGAACTAGTGTCTCAGCATGTCCCATTTTACATAACTGTAGAGGTTCACCTTAAGCGTGAAAAGCCTGTTTTTAGAGTTCTTTAGATAGCAGCTTCTATCCTTAGGTTTCAGTGACTTCCCATAGCACTGAGTTCCAAAAGTTAATTAAGTGTCATGCAAGCATGAATTATCATACCCTTGCACCTTTCTCTCCATTGGCACCTGGAAATCCTGGGAAACCGGTTGAGCCCTACGTAAGAAATCAATGCAAATATCAGAGGATATCAATAGCAAAACAGTAGTATAGCCAACATTTAATTTATATGTAAAGCAGACCTCCAAAGTCATGTACATTATACACGTCAAACTTGCAAGTGTGACAGCTCTGATGAATAGTTGCAAATTAACTTACCATAATGCCTCAATTCCAGAATGCATTAAAAAAATCAATGTATAGAATGGACATTATTTGTCATCTTATTAGACAATAAAGTATTCATTAAATCTGCACTGGTTTTAACAGTAGGAAAGAAATTATCAGTAACAGCCCACTAGAAATAACTGTATCATAATGAAGAGGAACAAACAAGGCCTTGTTGCCTCACAGTATAGGAATTCTTTTAGAAAGTAACTTCATTCAAAGTAATCGTGAGGTGTTGCCACACCTGAACAGTGGTCCTCTATTCACTTTACTGAGCTGTAAATTACTTCAGGGGCTTTATTCACTGTAGGCTGACCACTGGCCAGTTTCATTTAACTGATAGGTGCAACTTGTGTTATTCACTGTAGGCTGACCACTGGCCAGTGTCATTTAACTGATACGTGCAACTTGTACATGCGCTTATATGCTCATCTCGTACGCAGAATTTATGGGGAGATTGTTTCTATATATAGGAACTGCTTCCAGGCATTATTCCTACTTCTCCTTTTTTCTCCCCTTTCCTCCTGCTAACGGCCCGGTCTAATCTCAGCAGTACTATTTTCTTCTTTATTTCTGGTATACAGGTCCAGAGGGACAGCAGACTTGTTACCTGCCAAGGTGTTAATTTGTCATAAGGGACTTGGGGTCAAAGAAGTGATAGACTTGATAAAATATACTTGTAAGTGACCGGAGATGAAAATCAAAGCAGTGTGTGGTTTGGCCAGCCACTAAAACTACTGGCCAGACTCCCTGCTGTGATAATGCATCTGTATCTGTGCAGCTCGCTATTAGTATTTTAGCGGCAAATAAAATGCATACAACAAAAACTTAAAATAGAATTTCTTGGTGCTCTTCTTTGAAATGTCAGTAAGTATTTTTTCCTTTTTTCTCTTTTTCTTACTGATGCTTTCCTTTTAATGAATCTTGTTTCACACAACCATTCCAATTACCCATTAATGACGTAGGGGCAGTACAACTTCACTGACACGGACTCTAATGAAAACCTGACTGATATTCACTGGTGGGAGAAAAGTAAGAGATTATCTTTTCTTTCCTTTCTTCCTTTCTTTTTAATTCTTCACCAGTTATAACTTAAAATGTGAATAAAACTCTGAAAATTCTACTCTGTGAAGCCCAAGCATGTTTTTTATAATTAAAAGGCCAGAGGGAAAAACACTTCACTGACACGGACTCTAATGAAAACCTGACTGATATTCACTGGTGGGAGAAAAGTAAGAGATTATCTTTTCTTTCCTTTCTTCCTTTCTTTTTAATTCTTCACCAGTTATAACTTAAAATGTGAATAAAACTCTGAAAATTCTACTCTGTGAAGCCCAAGCATGTTTTTTATAATTAAAAGGCCAGAGGGAAAAACAATTCTTAATGATCGGGCATTAATAGGCTTTACTTGGTTGTAAATATCTTATATATACACAGTACTTTTTGCAGTTGTGTTAATCGAGAGGGACTGGACGGGAGAAAAAAAATATAGTGAAAATTATCAGATAATGGCAGTACTCTACGAACAATTCTCAGAAGAAAAATAATGTAAAGCAAGTGACAACAAAAAGAACAGTGTGGACCTTCTTGACAATACTGGGACGAGGTTTCTTATTTGCTTTACACAGCTAATATGTTTTTCTGCTGCTTCATTTTTTCTCTCTCCCTTATGTTAATTTGAACTGGACTGTGAATAAGTTTCAAAACAAGTCTCTAGTGAGCCGATGTAGCGTAGCTGTTATTGCTCTTCCTTGGAAGTTTAAGTGACAAATTAGAAGAGCAAACAGTGAATTCAGCTTGAGAACTATTTTCAATTTTCATGTGTTAAAAATTTAATGTAATGAAATTCTTGATCAAGTCTTTGCTGAAAAAAGAATCAATCAACTTTTATTTGAAGTGTTATATTTGTTCTTAGAACTGAATGATGTAAAACCTCTTTGATCTTAGACTTTTCAAAAGACAGTTCTAAAGGGGAACAAAAAGAGAGACTGAAATCTCAGACATTTGCGCTAAGAAACAGAAGCAAAAAACCGTGTCTCTCAAGGTGAATAGTTTTCATGAGTACTTTCCATAGACAGTTTTGATATTTTTCACTAACACAGAGTGTTCAGTGAATAAGCATTCTTCAGATAGTTCATTCACTTGACAGAAAAGTATAGGCCAGAGTCAGAAAAACACTTTGCTTAGCCAGCCAGGAAGTTGTATTTCTGCCAAAAAATCAAAATTTCAAATTTGAAAATAAAAATAAAACCCAAAGTAGAGCAAAGTTGAGGATTTTACTGCAGGTTGATTGTTCAGTTGTGTAGAAGGGGTAAGGGATTCTTTTACTTGCGATATTTCCCTAGACGAGTCATCTTTGAGACAGTCTGGAGACGCAATGTCTCCCTAATGGCCTCCCCTACACTGGGAAATGTCTGTAGAATTATTTTTTATTCCATTTTTTCTTTCTTGCTAATCTCAAAAAAGAGAGTTTGCAATTCATTTAGCATGCCCATTTCCTAAAGCTGTGTTAGGACGACCTTTTTAAAAATATGTTTCATAAAAATGTTTTAAAAATATAAGCCTCCACTTAAACCAGAAGCCACCTATATGGTTTTCTATTGCAATCAAAACATAAAAGATAGCTGAAGGATAGACATAGGCACATAAATCAACTAAGGATTGGCTTTTGTCATGTTTGTCTTAACAGAAGCAAAAGGAAAACATGGCGAAAATTTTAAATTGTATGTTTCAAAGAAATATGGCTTATTCTATGGAAGAAGCAATAATGACACAAATGGAATCCTTGTACCACACGGAAAATCCCCATCACTATCAGCATCCATTTAGTGGTCAATATAGTGCTCATTCTCTTTCAAGCATATCAGCAGTTATTTCATTTTCAAATTGTTTAATGCATGCCAGTCTGATGCTCGCACAAAAACACAACTCATGAGAGGATGCCAAAGGTTCGAAGGCAGTAGAGTTAAGAAGAGGAAAGACAGTGCTCCTTAAAGAGCCTGCCTTAGGGATCCAACATATTTAAAGATTTTATTTCAGAACGTGATTGTCAAGAAAGAAAATGTGAAAAATGGCCCTTGCTTTGATGCTCACACCCTGCTTTCCCCAAACACACAAATAAAATAACTGCCATCGTGACTGAAGTCAAAGCACAAGATATACAGCTCATTTACAGCTCACCTTTGGACCTTGTCTTCCTGGGTATCCTGGCAATCCGGGTACACCAAGCTTACCCTGCAATAAGAAGGCAGTGTCAATTTTTATTTTATCCTCCTTAGTGGTTCAGCAAACTTCTACAGAAAATATTTTTTCCACAACTTGAGTGATGACACTTCATGGAATATAATATTCAATTAAATAAATTTCTCATTTTAACTATTAATCACCAGTGGGCTTAGTTCCCTAAACTTAAATAAAAATCCCACTCCAATGAATGAGTTCAGCAAAGCCAATACCTCAGTGTCTTCTTTTTTTCCCCCATGAAGTGCTGTGTAGTGATGTGGGGCTGAGGTCATTAAACTATTAATATTCTCTAAGAAATCAGGGTGTTAATAGGTTTAAGTGAGAAGAAATCCTTTTTAATTTTTACTGTGTGATGGCTGCTTTGTTCTCCACAGGTTTTTCATGAATAGGCGTTTGAAGAATCAACTTTTTTCTTGAATAGTTCTAAACTGTTTGAGACTATGATAAATCATACCCCACTGACTATTGGCTGACAATAGATTTGTCAACAAATATTACCACCTTGCTATGTTCAGAAAGGACAACAGGATGAGCAGTCTGATCAACACTGACATTAACCATTCCTAGAAATGAAATACAGTACCCTACCCCATTGAGTTGGTCTCTTCAGACCTCTAGAGGATGAGTGATGGTTTGCCACTTTCAAAGGCAAGGGAAAGCAGTTTCAGTCTTTGAAAGATGGGAACTCTGGGAAAGAATTTGCCTATTTGCCTATTCTAAACACGGTCCATGTTCCAGACTATCACATTTTGGAGAAGATCTCAATGGAAAAGATATGATTATACAATATAACATACTCTGCAGTAACCTTAGATAATGAAAAAGAGAAAGGAGAGACCTGTATGGGAAAGGAAATTTGCCAAAATAAACATGTCTATTCTTAAATAATGCAGCACATGAATAAAGATGGTGTGTATTATCATATTCACGTAAGTGCATGTGTCTGGCTGAGAAATTATTAAAGAAGAATTCTTCCATTTGTGAAAATAATTATAATGCTGCCAGTTATGTGCCACACTGAAACAAGCTGCATGCATTATAATGATTGAAATGTTTTGCAGCATGAGAGTGCATCAAACTCTTGTCGAACTCACTGAAATTGTCCCTGGTTTTATGATTAAGCAAGCCCAGCTGCCTAGGTTTTGAGTGTGGATACGGACAGTTTTTTGATTGTAAGCTCTTTTCTGATGTGTTCCTCTTTTTCTTGGCACCATACTTGGTATTTTTTTTACTAAGCAAATCCAGCCCTAGACCTACTTGGGAAAGAGAGTTTTCTTATCACAGGATCAGTTGAACGTAGAGAATAGGAGACTACTCTGATACTTACATTACTTTGGAAGAGTAGTACCTTTGCATTAAGTAAGTCATAGGAATGACAAGGGAATAGGACATTGATAACTGGTCTTACAGGCACTTCCCTAATATTGTGGGGAGATCTAAGAGTTCATAAACGTTATTCTAGTCTTTGTGCTAAAATAAGTATCATAGGACCAACATCATAGAATTCTCCTCTGACCCACTCTGTCTGGCCAAGTATCCACAGAATATCCACAGAAGATGTTTGACTTTCAATGGGCAAGAAAAGGGAAGACTTTGGGTCTACAATTTCAAGCCCAGCTAATAGTGTTATCAACACCAGTAACTTTTTTCAAATATCTTCTGATATTTAGGGCTTCAGATTCTGGACTTGTGAGACTAAGAGTCCCATATATGTCATAGTGAAGAAGAAATGCTTAAAAACACGAACGTATGTTCACACTGAGTAATTTGAATAAGAAGAATTAAAAATAACTCAAATGCATATTTAAAAACTATAAAACAAAGTTTGTTTTGGTTTGGTTTGGTTTACTTTGTTCTTTTTAACTTAGGTTATAAAGCCTCGAAAAAGATGGACTATTTTGTAGACGTCCTCAGTCAATTAGTTATTCTGCAGATATCATGACAACAATACAAATTTTTGTAAGATTCCTAATATTCTTACATTTTTGTCAGGTCAGCGATACTGAAAACAACCATTGCCATGAAACATACAGTTCTTTCTGGAGAATGTAAATATATTGTAGGTGAAGATAATATGACCCTTATATCAGATTGTTTGGCTGATCTAGCGAAAACTGACTATACTGGCTTTCTGGTGTGAACTCAGCTTGCATTCCTGCAGGACAATAGTTCTGAGTTTCTTTTTTTATATGTTCTTTAATTCATGACCTAATGAATCAATTCAATGACCTAATAGCTGGTGAGGTATCTTGCAAAACTGTGGAGAACATTAATTCAGAAATAGTTCCCAATAGTTAAGTGTCCTGGTTTTGGCTGGGCTAGACTGGTGGGTGGGAGTGAGCCAGCGGCTGTGTGGTGTTTAGCTGCCTGGCGGGTTAAACCACAACATTAAGTGAACCTGAAAATAAATCTTTTTTGTAATGAGTGAACTGAGTTTTTGGCTATATACTTTTCTAAGAGTTTACGAATGACATTAGGCTCAAATTATAACCCTAACATCTTTCTGAACTTCTACTAATGACATACTTGCAAAAAGCAGCAACTTTTGATGAAAAGAGAGTTTGTTCCTAAGTTTGCTGAATACATTTTTGTCTTCCTGGCAAAACTCTTAGCTGTGAACTTTGTTACCTTTTTAGTAGCACCACATACTTATTAAGATTTCAATGTATACTTTCAAAGACTGTGTACAGCTATAAAGATGTCATGATGTCAGATGGGATGTTGCTGGAAAATACTAACTGTTCCTATTTTAGAGACAGCGAAAGTGAGAAAGAAATGTAAAATGCACCTTCTGTCCTACTCTTTTCAAGACAGAACTAGCATTAAAGCCACAGTTACCAAAAAATCTAAAGGGAAATACTTTCACCAGCATCTTCTCACTTTTGTGAAATATCGTATACACATTTCTGAACCATCATTTCTGTTTTATTTTATTTTATCATTCTTTCCCAGCTACCCAAAATGCCACTGCTGAAATCACCTTTCTTTTCTGATGCTCTCACCCAGTGAAATATGGTACCCGCACACGCATTCCTCAGCCTCCTTTCCTCCTCTATATCAATCCCAAGTGATTTTTGTTGAGGTCAGGATTCGACAGAGATTTGTACTTACCTTTGTGCCTGTTCTCTGCTGTATTTCGTATCACCATCCTTTTTTCAGTCCTCCCTTGTAACAGCCCACTTTTGCCAACCCTATTTTGGATTTTTATTCAGGGTATGTTTTCTGTTTAAAACAACCTTCATGTCACAATTTGTCGTAATATGACTGTGAATATTAATGGTGGTGCTGCAGAATGAATTATCATCCTTTGTGCCCAACTATTTTCTTTGCATCATATTTTTCTTAGCTGGCGTGCACTGTATGTAATTTGGGATAAGAATTTAGCTGCCTTACGTGCCAATGAAGTATTATAATGCCTTTTTGTATACTTACAAAACAGTGATTCCCAATACTTTTTCAAATGTGAACTCCAGTGGTCTGCTGTAGTAGTGTCTCATAAAAACTACTGTTAGGTAATTAAAGATTTTGCAGATCTGGAGGCTTGTTTTTTTAGTGATGAAGATCATGGGCTCCATCTATGTTATGAGGCAATGACATGTTTATGTTGATATCTGGCTACTGACCTTTTCCCCAGCTGGACCAGCAGCACCTGGGTCCCCAGATGGACCTGCTCGACCTTTTGGACCTTCTGGACCGTCTTCTCCTCGTGGACCTGGCTGACCAACTTCTCCCTAAAATACACCACCTTATAAATATGGAATGATTGCCTTCATGCATATATTAGAGACACTACCTGCAATTACTTGAAAATAAGTTTTCAGTAAATGTAAATAGAGATTAGAATCATAGAATCATAGAATGGGTTGTGTCGGAAGGGACCTTTAAAGGTCATCTAGTCCAACACCCTGCAATGCACAGGGACATCTTCAACTATATCAGGTTGCTCAAAGCCCTGTCTGATTTCCAGTTAGGAAAATACCACTGCTTATGTTCATTATATAAATGCAAATACATATAAATTAGGCATTGAATATTGCTTTCACAAGCGTAAGAGCCCAGTCACCTTGCCTGAAGGCGAAGAAGCTTAGTGAAAAGGATATCCCAGACTGACATTCTCTTCCTAACTGTGGCATTGTTGATTCACAAGAACCAAATCTCTGGCTCAAATCTGTGCATGTACAGGTAATAGAAATAATTTAAGCTACTAGCTTTTATTTTATTTTTGGTTTAAATTTATTTGTTCACTTCAGTGATCCTTTCAAAATAATAACACTTAAACTTTTTAAGAACATATGGGCTATGAATAAACGCTTACCCGGTCACCTTTAAGGCCCATGTCACCTTTAAATCCTGGAAAACCGTCTTCACCCTAAAAAAGGCAGAAATGCATGTGATGACTTTTAGTAATAGAAAGGATTTTTTTTTCTGCAGACAGAATAAGGAAATACATTCACTACAGATTAAAATAATTTGCATAGATAAAATGAGAACTTCAGACACCAGAAAATCTAATATGTCTATTGCTATTTTAGAGAAAGTATATCAGTGCACTATACAAAATGACTTTTTAGTTTGAAAGGTCCTGATAACAGCTGTTTAAAGCTGTTTAAAATCTGGTTAGAGACAATATAATTCTTCTGTTTTACTATGAATTATCTTGTAAAGTCCTTTCTTAGCTCCTAAGCTTTTTTTTGATTATCACTCTTTTTAATAAGGTCATCCATTCAATTAACTAAAAAATTGGTGGCAAGTTATTCAGTGTTATTCTTTTTGATAGCAGAACCTCCCTTTTAATTAATTTTTCTTTTAAATTAGTGTCTTAATAGTATCATGAGAGGAATAAAAAAATTGGCTGGTTTTGACATTTTAATAAAAAATAAAAAAGACATATATTAATGTTCGTGATATAAAAGAAGAAGAAGTCATTTCTACATAGTAGTTCGATGTCCGGCAATACTCAGCCTTGCCTACTCACATTGGCTGATGTGATTGAAAGAAAGTAGAAAAACCGATGGACATTGAGATTGAATCCATATACAGTGGCCAAACAGGTGCACGTTATTGTTATTCCTAGTGAGAATTACTTATTTACTGCCTAGTAAATTCTGGCACAGAATGTACTCCAAGCATTTTAATAGGTCTCCGTGCTGAAGTACAAGCAGACAGTACTCAGACAAATTTCATTTACACCTGTATAAGCTAGTTCAGATACAAACAGAAATCTCCAGAGTTGTTCAGTGGAGGCGTTCATGGCTTGCTCCAGCATAACTGGTCAGCTTTTGGTTCCCCCTTTCTTGATCTAACTCATCATACAACTACTGTTCCAATATCCAGAGAGCCAAGATTATTGACTGCATTTTTATCTTAGTTGTATCCTGGGAGCAAAGGTCTTTGTGATGAATGAGCACATCGTAAAATGTTTTACTATGATGCTGTTAGGTTTTTTTATATGCTGAAGTAATGTTACTGACTTAGAATCTGAGTAATATTTGGACTGTCAATAAAGCCAGGAAAGAGTGATACTGTGCTCCACATTACTGAAAAAAATCAAGACGGGCTTTCTATTTCATCCTCACTTTGAAAAAGAAGTTTGCATTTTGCATTCCTGGGCCCACAAAAGCTTTATCTTCCCCCGATCAGCGACTGAGACAGATTGCAAGGCTAAAGCCATTTTGACTCTGTTCAGAAGTAGCCATGCTGCATGCAACAAATAACCCTAGAAAGGGTGATAGAAATAGATTTGCTAGTGGTAAACAGCTCAAAATAGGTAGGAGACATTAAAATAAAAAAAAAAAAATCAAACAAGGAAATACAGTTGCTCAATAGTATGTGTTCATGTAAAAATGATGCGGTAACCCATCGTGATTCATTGAAAAAAATACACTAAAAACCATTCTAAAAGCAGGTTTCCTATGCTTTCTAGATGGTGAAGCTAAGCTTTATACGGTCGTCTTATATTGCATAAATTAAAATTTCAAGGTGTTCTTTCTTAAAATTTAGAGAGAGGTGAAAAAGGTAGAGTGAAGACTACATGGAAAAAGCTTTAGTTGTAAAAGTTGCTCAGTTATGGCCATGGACAGTAATAATTATATGAGAACACTCTGCAACATATCAGCAAGGACTGACCATGTGCCAACTGCTGACCAAATGGCTGCCAAATGAACTGAAACTCTTCTTCAGCTTTCACAGTGAGGTTCCAGCTATTGAGATCTACAAGAGGTTGATTTTATTCCATGTAGGAGGAGAGAGCTGAATGCTCTATTTCCTCGTCTGCTGTTAACAACAAATAAAATACCTAGAGTTCTAGTCACATTTACTGGTCAGTACGGAGACGGACCTCCTCTGATACCCCTGGGACCCTTCCAGATCTACAGAGGCTTTCCTGAATGATCAATTTATTTATTTCTGTCTCTTACAGTGCTTTCCCCCATGTAACGGCATCTGAATAATTCAGCAAAAAAGGCCTGTGCAACAGACCTTTAAAGCACTGTGAGGGCAACCTATGAAAGATCTTTGGGTGACCTTTTGAGGTATTCAGTAGAGTTCAGTGTCTTCCTGCAACTGTGAGATCAATTGTTAGGAACACGGAAATATTGTGGAGATTATGCTAATCAGTATTCATTGATACACACATATATATACGCACGTATATTAAGCTTATTTATATGTGAGTCTGGTATTTTGTCCTAGCTGGATATTAATCACTCAGTAAGGCAGAAGAAAATCTGGTTTTTTGAACCATCCAGTCTCCACAGGTATTAAACACACTCTTCTTCAGCTTAGATTTAATGAGCAACTGTAAAATGAGTATGCAGACTGGACAAACTGTGGTTTAGGAAAGCCTGAAAATGTACAGCAGCTCTTGGCATCTGAGCCTGAAAGACAGATCTCTAGTGCTGAAATCAAGGCTTTTTGGCAAGACTGAGTCTTCTGCTTTAGAAATAGCTATAAATATATATGCAGTAGCCACCAGAGCCACAAGGCTGAATTTGCCTGTGTGGTCAGGAGGTATGACTGATGGTGTTTGTTACCTGTCTCTCATTCTGAGGGCTGAGGAAAGTGGGAATTCAAACCAATACCGGCTGTAGTTTCAGCCACTGCAGACCATCAGAAGTCAGTAGAGATCGCAGTAGTTGGTGCTTGCTCTAGTAAGAGCTCTACAACCAGAATTAATGGTATCAGGGGGATGTAAAAGCTTTCTTCATGTTCATATATATGCATCTGACTGGGGCTGTCCATCACTTTGGCAAAGCCAAAGATCTGGGACAAAAATACCTGGAACCTAGAAAGCCATTGAAAGATGTACACAAAAAATACAAAATCTAGCCTACAGCACTATCAAAACAGATAAAATAATACTATTATCACCAGCAATCTCTCTGATGCACAAGCTTCTCAGTATCCACTACAGTATCTATCAACAAAAGAGGGGATGTCTAATTCTCTACTGAGGAGCACCTTAGAGAGAAGTTACTTAAACTGGTGTGAAGAGGATCCAAAACCATTCTAATAACTGAAGGTTTTATATTCACTTTGTACCAGTGTAAATAACCATGGAGGTCACTGATTTATGAATTGGGCTTGGTATGTCCTTAGGGTAAGACAAAAATAAACCCACTGCTGCAAGAGAAAACACACTGCAGTGAAGGAGACGGAAGATGTTGCAGCGAAATAAGGAACACAGAAAAAGGGAAAGGGATTAAACGCAGTCAGATTTACCTTTTCACCTTTGGATCCCTTGAGACCACGGACACCATCAGCTCCCTAAAGAAAGAATATAAAGAATTACCCACATGCATATATTCAAAAAGGGGTGGGGGGAGGAATCCGGTAATTAAATCTTACCTTTACACCACGAGGACCTGGATAGCCAATGGGACCCTGAGGACCTGGAGGCCCCTAAAATATATTGGAGTAAAGAACCTTTGTTTGTACAGTACTTGGTTAGCAAGCAGTTCTCTTCTGAGTCTAATCCTTGTTCTTTCACTATAACGCAGCAGTCTTGCGTGAGACATCAAAATAACACTGGGCTGCCTGCCACTAAGAAAAGTCATGGCATCACAAAGCACCCTTCAATGTCACTATAAAACTATTAATAAAATTATGAACTTGGTTCTACTTGAATATTTGGGAAACGTCTATCCACAATATAAATTATCTGGAACAATGGCAACTGGAAAATGTAATAAACAAACAAAAACAAACAAAAAGACGCCAGTTAGAAACCAGTGGTGACTTACTGGAGAAAATTTATATGTTAATTATGATGATGACACAAGTCAAAAGTAGAGATCAAAATAATGGTAATAATAAAAATCACGGTCTTTAAAAAAAAAGAGATTCCAAACCTGAAAGCTAAAAGGCTCATGGTGCTATCACTACTGACCGGTGTCTGGTTGCTGTTATTTGCTGTTTGCTGAGCGTTTTAAAGACGCTTAACTTTGATACTATGCAATCTGCTGGCAGCGTCTAAAGAAACTGAGTTCTGTAAACAGTGGAAGCAAGGAAGCCTGGGAACACATGTCTGTGTCTGAGGCTGAGCTGCTTTGTTGATTCTCCGATGTCCGAGATGGACAGATAACAAAGTCTTTCCCTAATGAGGCCCTTGATAAGGTCTTTTTCCCCTTTCCAACTGTGTCTTTTCACAAGACCTTTAGACTGTTACCATCTCTGAGAAGTAAAATTTTCTATCAAATTTGCCTGAAATTCATCAATAAATTCAAAAGGCGTAAGGAACAACTGACAGGTGGTCACATACCTGTACTTTCAAAACATAAATGCTCTGTGTAAGCTGTATTTTCTTAAGAAATCAGGATAAAATCTACAAGCCTCCAACAGATAACAACATTTTGGACACATAGTAATATGCTGGTGTCAGTGGAATTGTACTTTCTGAAATGTCCTATTCATTCATTCATCCTATTTATCCAGAACACAACCTTTTAGTATTGCCACTGAAATCAGTACTGCAGCTGAAACTGATTTCAGGTGCTATAAAGGGTGCTATTCGGGATAAATAAGGGTCAATACTGAGCAAGCAGAACACTTTAAAGAGCCCCAAGACCCTTCAGTGCTTCATAAAGAAATAAAGAAATTACTTTTCACGGTCACTGACTTGAAGATGACCTAAAAAATACAGTGTGTATGCATGCATTTGTAAATCTTCAAAAAACAAGGTTCTGAAGAACCCTAGTGGGTACTCTATACAATGGAATTGTAAACTCAAACTATTTGCAAGTTATTTATATTAAATGTATGCAACTTTTATTGATTGCCATTCGGTCAACCCCACAATCAGTTTTACTTTAAAAGAGTAATCTCTATTTTATTTAGAAACTCTGTAAGATTATGAACATAATAAATATGTTTGCACACAGATGCTTTGAATGCGTTACGGGTTTTCTATTATCTTCCTAAATAGTTCTTGGAGCAACAAATGTGTCATAAAGCTGAAAAACTGCCAAAGGTTTTCTTGAAAGCTATGTAAATAAATGGAAAAGTTTTAAAACTCACCAATGCACCTTTATCTCCAGACTGACCCTCTTTGCCAGGATGACCCTGATTTAAGAGAGATGTATCTGATTTGGAAAATACTCATTTTTCAGTAGTGACATTTTATTATAAAACCACAATTATTTAAACACTTGAATTTCAGGTCACTAATCACCCTTATTCTGTATTAGAACACACACACAGAATTTTGAGGAAAGATTTTCCTTTCGATACTGATGTAATTTACATAAAAAAGGAAAAGCTGGACGATAGTTATGTTGCTGTTAATGTTTTTAGGAATATCCTGATCACCCCTTCTGTTTAGTTAATGTTTCAGCAGTAAGAGGTTTTTAATGCAAGACACTCTCAAATTTGATTTCGAAACAAGCAGGGTGATTAATATTACAGCATGAAGACATTCCTAAAATTATTTAAAAGATTATGGAATTTATTGCAGAAGCCAATAGAAGGCTGATCTAGTTTTAACAGTCTTTGTTTTAAACTGTGACTTGCTTTTAAAACAAAATATGTTTACGCCTTAGTCTTTCTTCTATATCACTGACGTTAACACTGCAGCGCTCAAAACATTAACCGATCCATTGTTTTTCTTTCTTACAAAATTTACACTAAAATTCTGCAAAATTTAAAGGCAATTTAATGAAACTAAAGGTTAATAGAAGATTATTGTTTATGAGAATCAGTCAGGAATCCTTTTGCTATTGATGTTCATCAGTCTTATTAAAGGAGCATAGTAAATGTCTAGTTTTGCCAAGCATGTGGTCCCACATAACATGTAGCCAGTTACTAGTTACTAAAACCCTTTATGTTTTGGTGTCATTGACCTCCCAAAATGTTTTCAGTGTGTCAAATATGATATGACTTTGATGTGGCTGGTAATCTTATATGACAAACCCCTGGTGCTTACATTCCATTTTCTGGCCTTGGAAAACAGTTTAAAATATGTTCTTTATTAAAAGAATTATTAAAATAAAAAGTATTTGATACTTGCTTACCAGTGATTGTTAATTTTCCTTTAAAGAGTTTGTCTTACTAACATTGAGTATTTGTTACTTGTTTTTTAAAACGTACATGTCACTTGTTCAATCCTAATCTCCTAGAATATGCTTTCTTCTGTACAAAATTTTAAATCTCCATCCAGTATCAGAGGTCTCTGTAACATTAAATGACTTTAAAAGTGCTGCTATTAAAGAATGTATTTGTATCCCTTTAGATTTCCATTAATTCCAGTATAATACACCACTTTTAACAATGTCTTGCCTTCAAAATAGGACATTTCCTCACATAGACGTGAAATGAAATAGCATAGCAAGAATTTTCCTGATCTCCTGGAAAAATGCTCTTGAGCTTTCACCTGATCTTAACACAGATATCACGGGAGCAGTTACAAAGCTCATTGCAATCAGGAAGGTACTGCTCATTGCCTTCAATCTCTAGTGTAATTCTACGGTTGTAAATAGGTCATGTCAATTAGAATGGACTTAGTTTAACCTGCCTCTCCTCGTCTGAACAAACCTACTTGCGCATGAGGGAGATAATTTTGGTAGGTGTACTGGGTCTGGCTGGGATGGAGTTGATTTTCTTCATAGCAGCCCATACAGTGCTGTGTTTTGGATTTGTGACTAAAACTGCGTTGATAACACGCCGGTGTTTTGGCTATTGCTGAGCAGTGCTTGTACAGCATGGAGGCTTTCTCTTTGTCCCATTCTAACCCCTCAGCGAGCGGGCTGGGGGTGGGCAAGAAGCTGGGAGGGGACACAGCTGGGACAGCTGTTCCAAATTGACCAGAGGGATATTTCATACCATATGATGTCATACTTAGCAATAAAAGCTCAGGGAAAGGAGAAAGAAGGAGGGGACATTCATGGGTATGGTGTTTGTCTTCCCAAGTTACCCTTACGTGTGCTGAAGCCCAACTTTCCAGCAAGTGGCTAGCCACCTGCCTGCAGATTGGAAGTAGTGAATGCATTCCTTATTTTGTTTTGCTTGCGTGTGTAGCTTTGCTCCACTTATTCAGCTGTTGTTACCTCAACCCATGAGATTTCCTGCTTTTGATCTTCTGATTCTCTCCCCCATCCCGCTGTGGGAGGAGTGAGCGAGTGACTGGGTGGGTGCTTAGCTGCTGACTGGGGTCAACCCACCCCAGTAGGAATATCAGGTACAGTCCTGTGCTAACACCTGATTGTCTCTTACAGCATTTCCCCCCTGCCTTTGAGGTTTAACAAGGTGCAGATTTTAAAATAATGCTTATGTTTGGAAATTAATATTGTTCCCAGCATGCAGAAAAGGATACGGGGGAAAGTTCAAATGTTTAGGCAATGATTCAAGACATAGACTTCCAGCTGGACTATCATTGCGTATTTAACATTCTCCAGGAAAATGGTACTTTGGCGGGTAAAGGAGATATTGTGAGAGCCCTGGGTACAATTCTGTATTTGTAATATAAGCGTCTATGCAGCGAAAGCCCTGCAGTCAGTCCTGTTGTTCTTATCCTAGCTGATAAGTCAGGTTTAAGAAATGCAGATTTAACCTAAAAGGAAAATTGTACGGGAAAATGGCATGGGGAGGAGAGAGGTGGTCCGAGAAGTCACACTGACTGTCTAATGGCTTTTGGTGGTATAAAAAGATGATGTTTTTGATGCAAGAAAACTAGTGTATATTAATGTCATGATGAACAACGACTCCATTTAAGTTTAATGCCTGAACTGTAAGCAATGCTACTCAGGTGGTTACACTCTCTGTTCACATGAGTGAACGCATCCTCAGAGCTAAGCTGAATTACTTAGCGATCACAAGACTCTAAAGTTTGCCTTAGGTCTGTCCCAGTGTAGACAATGAAAGAAGAAGCCCAAACACGTAATATGCACCTTAGGCCAGGAAGCAGAGAAAGATCTAGTCTATTCTATGTTTCCTCAGAAAACAAGTGGTGAGCATTTTTACAGATGATTTGCTTTGCCATACTGACATAGTAGGACTACAGTGAAACAGTATCTGGCCCTTTGTGTGTCCGTTCGGTTATTTACACATCCCTGCAGATGTTGCAGATGCATTTCATCATCTGGGACCACATTTTAAAAGCCCACAGCCATTTTTAGCAGCTGCTTCAAAAAAGTAATTCTCTTAGTTTTAACAGCTCAAAAGATACAGGGTGTTTAGATGGATTTTATAATGCTGTTGCCAACCAGGACTACCAGTGCTTTTACTCTCCATTTTCTTTTTGCAACACAGGTATCCAGAAATATTTATTACTCGGTAAAAGTATTTAAACATTCAAGGGATGAAATATTTGGTTACTTACAGGAGGCCCATCAGAACCAGCAAGGCCAGGAAGGCCGGGCTTGCCTTGAGGTCCCTAAATGCAGCAACAGAGACACATCTTAAGGACAATAGCGAACATTATATCATTTCCTAGGATGATGGAGGATCATTCTTGCTGAGGACTGGTATGTCCTAAGCCAGCAAACTACCTTAAATCTTTTTAGTATTTTAATCTCTACTAAAACAACTGGTGCATCCACCCCAGGTGTAGAGTAGCTATCAGAAAAATAATAATTAAAAAAAAAAACAGGAAAGAAAAAGGGGAAAAAACCCCACCCATACCCAATACATTTAACTCTTAAGAGCTAAGGATATAAAATGTAGTTATACCTAAATCCCTTGACATGGATATCAGAGATAAACCAAAAATATAACAAAACGAAACCCAAGAAGATACTATCATACAATACATAAGTGCAAGGCCAGTTCTTACAAACTTTAGCCAATACAAAGCACCCATATTTTTCAATGAGGTGCTTGCCTGAGAACAGGCTTCAGGAATCACCCTATGAACACGCACACACACAGCACAAGGTGGGGAAGAATTACAAAATTAACTATTATTTAGAATTTCAGGAATAAAAGGATTCACCGTAAGAAAGATACCAACAAGATCAAGACGCAAAGAGTACAGGTTGCAGAACCCCAGCGCTCATAGCTGAAAGGCATGGTACGTCTTTGCGAAAGCCTCTGGAATGCGTATATTGTGGACCTAGCCCATTTTGCTAGAATAATACTTCTTAGGCACACAGGCAGGTAAAAAGCATGTATATTGCTTCCTAAAATCTCCTTCAATTTCTCCTAAAGTATATACTAAACAGTGAAGGGGAGCAAAATCAAGGAAAAATCAATAGTGCAGGAATTCAGCGAAATGGGGAGAAAAGTAAAATTAGTGTAAAATTCAACAGTGACATTTTTGAAATTAACAGAAGACATATTTCAATCCACAAGAACATGTACAGATAGATCAGGAAAAAAACACCAAGTGACACCACAGTATGCCAAATACACTGCAGAGTTATGTCAAAATATAATCCTCTAAAAAAGAGAACAGAATCAAACTTGAGTAGGTAAAACTTTCTTATAAAAGAGATTAATAAAAATAATTTTCACAGCTTGCTGTGAAATTAATGAACATACAAGTACACACTGTTTAATATCGTAGATGGGATTCTGAAGCTAGTAACAGAAAATTAATCCAAAATAAAGGGAGGAAATCATGCTTGTGAAAATGCGTACATGAGCGGAAAGCCAGGCCTCCATTGGTTATTCATTTGCTTGATGGTTTCAGGAAGATCTGCTAATTTTTAGATCTTAGGTTACTATTCTGTAAAACATAGCAAAGCCCTTAAGCACATAAGCAAGGTTGTTGCACAGGACTGACTGTGAAATACCAGAATAATGCTGTAACTTACTTTTTCACCAGGAGGTCCAATAGGACCTTGCGGACCAGGAAGCCCCTATTAAAAAGAAACCAGTGTGAGAAACCAGGGGGAACAATATACATACATTCACCCTACTAAAGGTCCCTCATTAATCTGTTTAAACACACTGGCAAATATAAGTGGCTTTTTTTCCCCCCTTACGAGTTAGATCAGGAGTTTTGTGTGAGCCTTTTGCACAAGCCACTATTTTGGCAGTAAGTCTGTAACAAGATCCTATTCAGAACCCTCCTCCAGGTGTGGCCGTTCCTGCTGCATTCCAGGAACACTGAATGAGTCATTTTTCTCCTGAATGAAAAATCCCTCTGAAAGCTTACTTGAAAACTCTGCTCCCACTGCCCTCGGCACATTTGCAGCGTTATTTATAAAATCCTTGAAGCTTTATCAGTTTTGCACATGAAAAGCTAACCTTTTAGTAATTTCCATTTATTAAACATTTGCTGCACATTACATCGTATTTCTTGAGAGTTATTTTACACTTACTTGTGGGCCTGGGATTCCTTGCTGACCAGGAGGTCCTGGTTCCCCTTGAGGACCCTACCATGCAAAAAAATACCAGGGCATTAGGTTTGCATTTCTGCACTACAGATCTTCATTGTCAGGACTAAAAGGAATACAAACTCATCTTTGTTTCTCCCTCTTTAAAGTCTACCACCAACTTTCTATCCAGTATGATATTTTTTCATGCTAATGAATATCACGGCCTTTTCTTTAACCGAGAATAACAGCCCACGCATAGGACCTAAGCACTGGAGTCCATGGTGCTAAAGGAGCTTGAGAGAAAGCATGGTTAGGCCTTTTGGCTGAAAACTAAGTAATAGAAGGCTTCTCTTTTCTATGTAAGATCATAATGAATCTGAATATTTTGACGGAAAAGTTTAATTAAATGGAAGGGATGGCATAGCAGCAGGGACGAGAGAATGTGAAAAGGGTTCTTAGAATCCACTCCCTTTTTAATTCCCAGCTTACTTACTCACCATGTTTCCTTTTGGGCCTGAAGGTCCATCAATACCTGCAATGCCCTACAACAAACAACATAAACATGAGCCACTTTCAGTGGACTTCCATTTTTCTTCTGGAAATTGCAAATACAAACCAGTTCATACGTACAGGTTGTCCAGGGGGACCAGGTGTACCTCTGGGGCCAAGTAATCCCCGCGGACCCTGTAGGAGAAGAAACACTTATTAACACCTGCATGACTTTTTTCTGAACAAAGAGAGGCCCAGGAGCAGGACTGGGCACGGAATGTCGTAAGGAGTAGGAAGGATGAGGGGAAGGCAGCATGGGGGTTGAGGGAGAAAGAAAGAAAGGAAAAAAGGGAAAAAATCACTGATAACAGATTCTCCTGAAGGCCACCATATGTCTGAACAGGATGTCAGTAGAAGGGCAAGCTTTGATTTAGCTGCTGTATGGTCATTTCAGGGAACGGTAGGAGATAACTATTTATATTTCCTGGTGCAGAACATTGGCACAGCGTCTTCCACTGAAGTTTCAGCTGTGTCTTGGCCTGAAGGTCTGACCTGAATAGTAGCATACATGTTTGTATTCCTGTCTTTAGAAAACGTGACGGTCTGTCATACTCTCTACTAAGTGTAAAACGGTGCTTTTATCTGTAGCAAAGATCCAATAAATAATTAAAGATTACTAATAATTTTATTATAATAAATGCAAGGCATTCTGGAAACCAAAATCAGATTTGTTCCTCTTACCCCTAAAGAATTCCACAAAAGACCAAGGGCTATTCTCCTAAATAAGGTGAGCAAGATTCGGTCTATAACATAATCTTTTGGCTTTATACTATGTAAATGAATATTAGTTTTCATCATTTGTGTCACCATTCATGTCACGCTGCTAAAGTAGGCAGGACCGAGTCTCCAGTCTCCTCATGTATGATACAGTCACAAATCACTAACGCTCTGACTGTGTAGCGACTTCCTCCTACTTTGCGAGTAGGCAGCAGTATGTCATACATTTAGGGTAAAATTCCCCTTTCCGAGGCTTGATTTCTTGCCTGCAATGCAGAACTCTGCTCTGCAGTGACAGCACCTGCAGAATTCCAACTGACAGCAGTGGAAATTCTGTATGTGAAACAAGTGTAAAAATACACAATGAAGCACAGTAGTGTGAAAAAAGAGGAGAAGCCAGGCCTTATTGTCTAATAAGTAGATGTTTGGAAAACATTTTCAAAGCAACAGGGGCTTGGTTATATTCTCATGCAGTCAAGGACTGCAGTGACTGATTTTACACAATAGGGTAGGAATTAGCTTTTGTGATTCTGGAAACTGTGTATACTTGGCTGGATATATCCCTGACTAAATTCTAATCCTGTAAGTAGTGTTTCACCCCTAAAAAACCTGTTCATTTGTTTGCTTTTCAGCCAGAATCAGTACTCTCTCTATACACACACACACAGTGATTTTTATACCTGGAATTCAGAACAGTTCAATAGAAAGGAAAAAAATCTGAGAGTGACTTTCGTTTGTAACAGAAACAGAAGAATAAGAAAGCATTGCTTACAGCTTCACCTGGGAGACCTCTTGGTCCAACTTCCCCATCTTCTCCCTGTTTTTGTATAAAGGGAATAGAAGTTTTGGAAAAAAAGAACAAGTATCACGACTATATTCTCATTACATGAGGATTCACTCTAGATTTTACTGTGTAAATAGAGACTTACTCTTGATCCATCTTCACCAGGTAAGCCAGGTGGTCCCTGTGGGCCACGGTCTCCCTGTAGAATAAGGAAAGTCATTAAAATAATACATCTGCTGCTGGAAACAATAATGGATGGGAAGGGAAATGAAAACAAATGTGCTAGCTGAAGTCTGATGTGTCAAAACATGTCGACACAATGAGACAAATCTGTAGGTCAGAGTACTCAGTAAAGTCTTTTATTACATTAGTATAAAAACAAATGAACATTATTGAAACAATGAACCATTTGTGTTTGTAAAATTTCACTCTGTAACTATTCTTGGCCCCAGAACACACACAAACTACTGCTACAAAAGGCAGCGTTACCCACATTTTTCTTTGTCTCATCAGCACCTTCCCCCTCCCTCTACACAATGTGTTACTGCCAGTAAAATAAGGAATGTGTACATGGGTCAGAAGTTAATAAACCAATTGCTGGGCCCTGGAATATACACGGTGAAGTGCACTGACCACCTTTCAGGACCACGCACCCTGGCACCAGTCATTGAGAGCCTTGAGATTGATTTGTCTGAAGCTTTGGAAGGCAGCCAGACTTCCACACTTCCCCTCAGAGGCTGGGGCTTTTCAAGTCTATATATGCAGAGCCTCAGTAGATTCTGGACCATACATTTAGGATTTATTTTTCTTTCCCCGTTTCTAAAGAGAACTAGTGTGCTGCATCGCTTAAACACCACTGACTGACCTCTTTCTGGGCAGCGGGTTTTTAGACTGTGACTTCCTTCTGGCATTGGACAACAACCAAGTATTCATGCTGTTTTCCTTAATTTTATCAGTGTCTCCAAGGAGCCTGACCACTGCTGTGGATCCTAGCAGAGATATATGGAGTCACTTTTTAATGGCTCCATTCTTTACTCTTTCAAACTTTCCTAGGGAATTTTAGGTAACTTGCTCTCTTACCCCAGAGCTACATAATATTAGAGATGTCAGGATTTTATTCTACTGCCTTTCTGTCCTCTAGAAGTTGGAACCGGCATGGGAGAGAATGAAATTCTATGAACTGCACTTTCATACCTTTAAGATGAATTAGTTCACCAGTTTCTATATTTTGCTAAGTTTTGGAACTACTCTACGTGATCTGCTGGTAGAGCATTTGCTTTTCTACAGGCTAAATGACACTCCTGAAAGATGACACATGAGACACCTGATCTGTGCTCTGGCTTCCTATTAATATTCAGGTGAAGACTGACTTAAGCTTTCAAATATTGAAATAGTTCATCCCCTCAAGGGCTACCTTTCTTCTCTTGCAATCACATGGCACTTAGAGTTAGATTAGGAGCTTGCATTCAGTGTCCTGGTATTGTCATGCAGTAAGACCAAAACCTCCTGTCATTATCAGCATTCTCACTTCTTCAATTCTCTAATTCTTTCCTTCAAATCTTCTGTTAAAGCCTGAATTTCTTTTTCCTTAGACCTTTTCTTCTAGTATATAGTGTCTTACTTTTATACTGGATAAGAGTTATGCATCTAGTAAATCTAAATAAGAAAACTTCAAAGTCATAGATATCGAGGCTAAAAGGGATATTACACCATATGGTCTGATCTCCCTTACACTGGAAGTCAGAGAATCTCATCCAGTAACTCCTGCCTGACAACTGGTGTTTGACAGAGGCATAACCTCACAGAGACAACCAATTTGCAACTCATAGTTCAAATATGACTAATTCTAAAAGTAGTCCTAAAACTTCTACTCTAAAGTTATGGGTTTTTAACATCGATTCTCTTACAGCTGAAACATAACTACAACCAAAAAAGTGTTTCTCTTGTCTTTCTTTCTGCGCTCTTTATTGCAAGCCAAAGAGAACTGAATATTTGTGTTACATGCTGTCAGTATATATGAATCCGAAGAGCTACAGCTATCTGATCTGGCTTTGGACTGAGCTGCTTTCAGAAAGATCATAGTTTGTACTTCTACAGAAGATTTCCACATAAACACGAGAATGCAGATTTTTAAATACTAGGATGAAAGAAATGATGAAAAGAAGTCATTATTTTCATTATGATTTTGCAAATTTTAACCAAAACTTATTATTGTATTTTAGTTTTTTTAATTTGTTTAGGAAATACGAAACAAATAGAATATTTGCAAAAAAAAATATTAATTTCTTTATGACTTGGAAGGTCCCACAGACAGACAATTCTAGTATTCCAGGTTGGAAAGCAGACACCCATTCCCTGACTGAACCAATTTCTGCTCAGCCTTTAGAGTGAAGCAGTGGCAAGAGCTTAATGTCTAGCCCCCTCTGCCGGTCACCTGCTCATCAAGCCGGATTTCAATTACGTGACGCGCCGATTGCTTTACAGTCTTCAGGTAAAAGGGAATGATGAAAGAGGATCAAGACATTTCTGTATGACACTAGAAGTTCTTTTCCCATTGCAAACAGAACTCAAAAGAGTATCCTTAGATGCTATTGCAAAGAACTACATTACGGGCCAGTAGCCAACGCAGTTGAGATTTTCTGGGAAGTGCCGCAACTGTGCTAACCCATTGAAGGGTGAGAGCTATAGTCATTCCTTGGTCATCAAGCTTTAGTACATATGGGAATGGTTCTGATGACAGTCCCACTCACTGTTTCTTTTATGGTGCATTGCACTTACCAGGACAACAGTAAGGGAGGTACATTCAGTAGAGTATGTTGTTACTAGCATCTACATTAGGGGTATAATTTAAAGCAGAAATCCCCTGCTGTGATTATTTCTACACTTCGTAGGGAAAGATGCGGTCTCATCCTACAGATTGGTATGACATAAGAAGCAAGTACGTTAGTTGTTTTAAATATTACTTCAGGTTTTCCTAACTTATCTGACCTGATTCTGATCCTTCTTTAAGCTGCAGCTGTTGGAATAAGCCACACTAAACAATTCAGTTTGCAATTCAAATATTCAAATGCATTTTTCGAGCAAGCTTCTCAGCCGGTTAAAATTTGCCATGCTCCTGATACAGAAACTTCATGCTAACTTCCTTTTCCTATTACTATTTCCTTTAACAATCACTTTAAATCCAACAGGCAAATTCCTTAACTAAGAAAAATTAGAGAAAAACCTAGCTGAAGATATGATCTGAATTCTGAAAATATATTTAAATCATTTATATATATATATATGAATTGCTGTCTATTGATTGATATTACTGAAATGTTTCATGAGGAATACATTACCTGACAATATAATATTATTCTGTAGTGTGAAAAGCTGACATTCTGTTTTATCTTTCCCCATAGTCCCTAGTGCTATTCTTAACGAATAGTGCGTTATTTCTGTGACCGTATCAATTTGTTGTTGTATAAATACACGTTGTTCTTACCCTGTTACCTTTGTCACCAGGGAGGCCAGGAAGACCATCAAATCCTCTGTCACCCTAGGAAAGAAGAAATCACAGCTTTAGGAAGTGACTATTACATCCTGTATTACTTGGAATAAATTGTGCTTTCCCTCTAAAAGTTAATTTCTACCCTTGGTTATATGTACACTTTTGTTATTGAATGAAACACATGGAAGGGAGCACATAGATCAAACTCACAAAATTTGCTTCTATGCATTAAAGCAAGAGAAGATGCCACACCAACTTTTTCACTGTGCTGCAACTATGCTGTTTATAAAAAGAAGTCTACGTTGAGATGAAAAACTTGATTCCAGCTGCACTTTGCAGTTGCAAAACTGACTTCACTATTATTGATACTCTGTAACTAGAAAATGACTCAGAGGGATAGGAATCATGCCTCAAGAATCAAGTTACTTTAAGGTCAGACTACGAGCCATTACCATTAATTACCATATTTTAAATGGATGATTCATTCTCAGCTCTTGCATCTGACCCAGCTATCTGAAACCTCAGTATTTTCTCTTGAGAGAAGAATTTTGGGTTGGCCTGGAAGAGGCTGTGGTACCTACATAAAATCTGTCTAGCCCATTCCAAGACTGAAATAAAGTCTTAGGTGTCATTATTATTTACCTTTGCACCAGGTTCTCCTGGCATTCCCCTTGCACCATCAGCTCCAGGACGTCCCTGCAAAAACCCAAAGGGGCAAACATTTGAAAATGCAGTGGAATCAGTTAATATTTAAATATCTTTAAATAGAAACTATTTACCCGGAGCAGGATTGATCCATATGCTACCTACCCTTTTGCCAGCTTTTCCACTTGGACCAGGGGTACCTTGAACACCACGAGGACCCTGAATTTAAAAAGTGTAATTCTTAGGATCACATTCATGTCAGCAAAAAGCTAGTTAAACATCTCACCTTAGGAACAAGATAAGATTTTTTATACACAAAACTGCATTTTTTCCCAGGAGATGGATTCTGGTTTCCAAATTCCCATTAGTTTTAATAGAACATGGGCATCCAAACTGGCCTTAGCACCACCAGTCTTAATACTAGTTTTCGTGAGATGGCACTATACATGGCATAATTGGTCCTTTTAACATAAAAGCTTCTTACATTCTTTTTATGGCTTTGAAGATCTCAGTCCTGTGGTTTGAAAACCCTTCTTCCTCTCATGCCAAAATTATTTTAGTCACATAATAATTATTTGATGAAAACTAAAGAGTGCTTATTTCAGATCCCTCACTCATACACAAACATGAGTTGTGCTGGTAAACAGCTCACATGCTGACACATGCTTGACACAGCACGGTTTTAACTAGAGGGAGACCAAACTACCCCAGACTGAAAAACCTAATTCCACTTTTCAAACACATGTAACTTCCACTGACGACTGTGTGGGCATATGTTTCTGTGGAAGCTTTCTCATCCCCCACCCAAATGCATCTTCTTCAGGTGAAAATAGCAATGGTAAGGACTAGCCATCCAAAAATACTGAGTAGGAAGAGAAAAAATACTAAAAATGTAAGTAAGCAAACTGGAGGACTGACCAGCTGTTCAGAGTGCTTTTTTGTTTAACGGCTTTATTTTTCTGCTGCAAATATCCATGTGGAGTTTTAAGACAGGCACTTAATAATGTAGCAAATCCATGATACCACTTGAGATCTGGCAAAATCATTGTTCCAGAGACTCCTGTCATGATTTCTTTAAGAACCCCCTATTACCACTAAAAACATTTCAATGTGTTTCAGTGCTCTTTAACATCACTGCACAGGAGCTGATATAATAGTAAGCTGAGAAGAAAAGCATGCACTGATTCCTAAAGACTTATTCTTGCTATGTCACGTCTTTCTTGAAAATATCCTGTTGAATTACCAACTAAATTCAACCTCTCTCACCTTATGAGATCCGATAAAAGCAGAGCTCAAGGTCATCCAATTGCAGATTGACATATAATTATTTAACAGAGAAAAGAGCCTGAAGTGACAATATTAAAACAGGTTTTCAAGTGATGACACTCTACCTGTGATAATTGCTTTTTGTTATATATTGTTACTTTCATATTTCAAATCAAGCTACAGCATTTAATTAGGATAGTATTGTAAAAGCTATTTTTCTTCAATTGCACGCAGAAAGCATATCATTGATTGATTTCTTCTAAGTGGTACGAATGTATTTTTTTAAAGATAAACAAGCTCAAACATCACAGGCAATATTATTGTACCTGGGGACCTGGTTCACCACTTTCACCCTTAGCACCTGCTGCTCCAGGTCCACCCTTGATGAAAAAAGCAAAACATTTGTTTAAATATACAAAAACCTCTTTAAACGAAAGTTACTATCTATTTCTACACATTAATTACAGGGAGAAAAAACCAAACAATCCCTTATTCATTAGGAGGTGTGAATTCACCACTTGAATCTGCAGATATACCCCGATATATCATTGTCTAGACACTGGGCCTAACTGGGCCGAAAATCTTTCTATTACCAAAGAAAACTCTCACCGATTTGAATGGGATCAAATGTAACCCTTTGTTCTAAATTAATGTTTGAGAGCTAAATATGAGCAAGTCAGAACATAAGTCATGCAAACAGAGGTGCATCTTCTGTAGGGAAGGCAACAGAAATGAAAGCCACCTCTTTTTACCTTTATCTGTTTCTGTGTTGTACAGAATATAAGAGAGTCTTGGAGTTCAATCCAAAGATCACTGTTGTCAATGAAAAATACCCTGTCTAATCTTGTCATGAACTTCAGCGATGTTTTAATCAAGGTCTTTGTGCATCTGGCCCTGAAGAAGTGGAAAATCTATATAGCTGCATCTCTTTACTATCATTAAATGATGATACAGATTTTGAGAGTAAGTTTTACTCATTAACAGACCTAAAACAGATCTTCATCCAGGGTAAGATACTGTACATGGAATCTGGGGCAGAATTAGTCAAAGTAAGTTTGTGTTTTCTTAATAGTGGTCTCACAAAAATAGACAAAACGAAACAAAAAATCTCGACGTGCTCACAGAGAATACAGGCTCAGGGAAGGAGCATACTGGAGTTTACTATTACGGGCAAAAGAATTTTTGCATTTCTGACCTCTGAAACAGGTCGTGACCAAATGTATGTATTTAGTATGAAACGAATCTTGCAGACCTTGAAAAATTGATAATCCTCCTATATTCACCACAGTGACCATTCAAAGAAAGAAGTGGTCTGATGGCTTGGCTTAGTGCTGAGTCTAGCATCCTGGAGTGGAAAGATTCCCACTGACCTTGCAGGTATTGAATCAAGTCCTAAGCAAATTGAAAATCAGATCCTGAGCTGGTACTGGCAGTGGAGAGAACAGTGGAGAGAACAGTGGCTTTGGTAGGTGGTGACTGTCTGTTTGGGTTTCCCTGACGTAAGGTCTGCTTTTAATTAATATAATTGATTACATTTAATATCTGTAGGCAGAAATTTATTTTGTATTCTATGTTAATTAAGCACGTGAACTCCAGACTCAGTTGAAGCTAGACTGGGGCTTTGACAGTGCTGTGTTTAAGACTTTTAATAACTGATATGTTTCTAAATTGGCTACTAATAATTTAACAAAATACAATTCATATTAAGAGTAAAAGCTCCAACCTTTTCCTTCTTAAAATAAGCTGGGCACACAAACAATTGACAGACCAAGAATCTGTAGTTGCTTCTGGAACTGTAGGCCAAAAAAATTGCCAGGTCAAAGAGTTGGATTTCTAGAGCCTCCTGGTGGCTTAGAAGCAAAACAACTATTAATATTATTCATCTGTCGAACTTTGCATACCGAAATTCATGAAGGCCTTTAAAACGTGAAAGCATTGAGTATGAGGCCAGGTTCTGCCTCAGCTAAAGGTATACAACCCACTGTCAGTATTATACCAGTCTTCACAAGTGAATTCCTTGCTTACGGCAGTTCTATAGTTGTTCTGTCTGTATAGACTGAATGTTATCCTGCGGGTCTCTTGATTAAAATACACTGCTGGAAATAGCGTATTAGTTTGGTATATAGACCCAACATGTTTGACTGTTTGTAAGTACTGCATACCTAATCATGATCAATCAGGAGTCTGTGAGCCAAATTCTCTGCTTGATAGCAACTATTTACTTGGGAAGAATTACTCTAGAAAAGAATTGCTCTTGTATAGGTCTGCTTAAAAATATAAGTAAAGTCCAGGGATTTCAGTTTCTGGGGACCAAGTGAGATTCTGGTGGGATATTTAGCTAAAATTTACCTGAAAACAGTAAATTTCACCTAGATAAACAGACAGGGATCATGAGACTGGCCAATTTGGAGCACAGTATAATTTGGAACAGATTTTTTGATGCTATATGAAGATGAGGCAAAGCACTACCAAGCCATCCGAGAATACGACTCAACAACAGTTTTAGTGTCATGTAGCTTTCAAGAGTCACTGAGGAGAATGTTAAGCTGCTAGGATCAGGGAAGAACACGATCCAGAGTTTTCCTTATGCTCCCTAAAATATTCCTTCAACAGTATGTAATTATCTTATGTCCTCCTGGGTTTTCTTTGTTCATAAAAGTGGTCACTGGAGGGAATAGCAGAGAGCGGCACTGAGACAACCTTTCAGTTGCAATGTGCTGCTATAATTATACACAATGAGGTGGACAATAACCTGGCCAGTACTTTCTGTTGGTAGTAGTAGGATGCTATACTCATGTTTGTCCACCTGCCTCTCCTGCTTTCAAACTAACAGACACTGTACGTTAAGGAGGGTGAGGATGAGAGGGAAAAAGAGGAGGTTGGAAGGGCAGGACTTGATTGTTACTGTTCAGCTATGGGCTGTTGCTGAAGCATCACATTAAAGAGAGAAAGAAGCGCAAAAGAAGGGGAAGGAACCGTATTTCTTATACTACAGTCTCACCACTTCTAAGTTATTACCAAATCTCCACAACTGGGATGAGTGGAAGGAAACTACTTTGGAGGAAAACGCTATTGCATTCTGAGGCAAGTTTGAGTGGAAGGAAACTACTTTGGAGGAAAATGCTATTGCATTCTGAGGCAAGGAGAAAACCAGGTAGCCTCCAGCAACTTCTGTTGCTGTTTTCTATGTATGCTGCCATAGTTGTGACTGGCATATCTCTGCAGCCACTTTTTCTTCACACAATAAACCAACAGGAACTTGCTTCATCCTTTTCTCTTGGTTACCCAGCGATCACTTGTTTTCTTTTCTCAGTAGCACAATTGTATTCTTGTCTGTGTTTTACAATGAGATGCTTGTCTGATCTAATGAAAACTGCTAACATTACTCTTTGCGTCCATCACCATAATGACAATATAAATAAAAATCACAGCAGACATAGATCAAAATTTAAGAGGCCATATATTTGCCAACCTAGCTATGTCATCACATTAGACAAAACAACAGTTCCCAAATTAAGTGGATCTTTCAAAGATGGATGCTGTACTAACTGTAGAAGGGAATTTCACTCTACATCAGCGGATAAATACAATCACCTGGGAGAAATTTAGAAAAGACTAGTCTTCCAGAAAGCTTATGATCTTGGCTGCAGCATTTGTTATTTTATATCATGGTACAGATGCTTTATAATAGCTTTTTGAAAGATGGTAAATGCTAAATTACGCCATTTAGTGGACTATTGAGTCTGAAAAGTATCCATTTCCTAAAAGAGGAAATTGCAATCGCAAGATTGATCAGGTGGTTTTGGCTTGCTGAGCTTCCTACCTGGTTTTATTCTTTCAATGTGAGTATTGTCCTTTTGAAGTGTTTGTAGGGATCACAGAGGCAAACCTATTCATGATCAAAAAGTTGTTTTGCACGTCATCAGAAAAACTGTGGTGTTCCATGTACAGACTTTGTACAAGTATTAAGCTTTTTTAACATCCACAAGGCCATTTTCCAAGTCATTCGGTATTAGCAGTCAAGCTAAATTCAGGACTGAAGTAAAAAAGTACAATTCTTTTCGAAATCTGTATGGTTTTTAATTGCTTATAGGCATGCCTCAAGAACTTTTCAGATTCAGCTTAAATAGTGAGTCAAGGTCATTCTGCACACTCTTGCTTTAGTATCCCCTTCTGTAGAGTTTCATATTTACCACAAGAAATTTTGCAAATATTATTACAGAGATGACTGACTGTAGAGGCATATGTAGTTATTTACGTAAAACTATTCGCTAGTTTTGTAAGTCTACCAGTGTGCTCTATCCAAACACCCCAAAATCTACAATAAAAACTGATTCAGTATTCAGGTTGCATTGCAGACCTTGAATAAGAATACAAACTATGGCTTTAATTCCATCCGTTTCTTTTCAAATAAAGTAAGTATAAATACAGAGGTGTAGGCAAGGCCAGAATGAGATCCACGGCCTTGCGTTACTGTGTTCTTAAACCTGTGCTCCTGTTTTGTTTACATACCACGGGACCTGGTCTTCCAGTGAGTCCCATGGGACCAGGTGGACCTCTCATAGCAATCTGAGAAAACAAACAGAACAAAACAACAGGTATCATGAAAAAGCTGCCAGCCAGCATACAAATTCTATATTAATACAATTTCATAATGCATTAGCAAATAGCCCCCATCATTGACTCAGCTGTCAACAAGGATAACTACTGTGATGAGATGATGCTTAGAGCTCTTTACTTCCCATCCTGCATGATATAAAATGGAAATTTTTTTGGAGCTGTACCCTTGTGGCAGTTTTGTTTGCAGGCTCCTTGTGCTCACCCTAGCTTGCTGAAGAATAGCTTGTGCTTGAGCTTCCTGAGCTGAGATTGTTGGGCCCTTCTCACCATCTCCACCAAAGCGGAACTGCAAGTATCAAAACAAGAAAAGGATTCAGAATTTGTCAAATTAAAACCATGCTTGTTATTCGCTGCAACTGTGTAAACCACTTCAACGACACGGGGTCTCAGTCTTTAGTTCATTCCACTAACTTCAGAAGACTGCTGCACTGAGGCCACAGAATAAAATTGAAGTACTCATTGCTGCACTCCTGGACTGTTACTGCTCATGAAACTGCTAGCAGAAGCTTTGCAATGTTGCAGAGACACTAAGCTGCAACAAGAAGCACGGCTTTCCAAAGGTGTGGCATAGGCACGCTGGATATCAGGGCCATGAATCTTTCACTGCCCACAACAGTTTATTCGGTTTGCCTACGCCCAGAGCTGGCACGGTAACTGAGGTCTTTCTCCTGCAGTCATATTATTAGCCGAATGGAAGGATTTTTTTGGAAAGTGACGGAAAACGTATTGCTTTAAGCCCCCACAAATGAGCACCTGACTTTTTCTAAAACGAGAACTACCAAGCCTTCTATCATTTGAAAGGAGGCCAGGTGGTTTGTAGGGATCCGCGTAATGTGGAATCAAAAATATTTTTCCAAGCAAAAGTGCCTAAATTCGTTGTCTTGCATCCATTGAAAAGCTGAACCCATTTTGATGAATTCAAGCCCCACACATGATGATGAAGAGCCACCCATCCCACAAAAGGTGTCTCCCACATGTTACTTGGTGTTTTGAATGTACCTCTGTGACAAGACAGTCTACCACTGCTAGATTCGATTCCACCTGTTTACTCCTTTATACCAGGATGGCTCTCAAGCTAGTGAGCAGGTCATCTGTTATAAAAGGATAGTGGCTTCTCAGTGGGGTTTATAAATGTGGAAAACAATTCTGGACAGTGGTTAAAGTACTAGGCTGGAATTCGGGAGACGTGAAGCCAATTCCTTCCTTCCTGAGAAATTTCTGGTTTGACTTGGTAAATCGCTTGTGGTGAGACTCATTAACATCTAAAAATAAAGCTAGTGAGATTTTCCAAAGTGACCGATAGGTTAAGTATTAGTCCACACTTACTACCTTTAGTGGAGCAAACTGATAACAGCAATTACAGACGGAAGAATGATTTGGGAATAATTCCCCTGAGGACTAGTGGCATTTTTCCATCAACTAATTATTGGTAAACAAATATTTCTGTTACACAGCCAGCTGCGATAACAGAACTTGGTGCAAGCACAAGGTCAAAAACATTAGCTTATTTTAATAAACTTCCATTGATTGTTTCATAAATAGAAAATAAACTTTACAAAATCATCCTTTCCTCATTGATACTGATGGAGTCCTGCCTCCTGTATCAGAACTGCAGCAACTATAGCTCTGAGACTTTTTACTTACTTTGCTTTACTTACCAAAAATACTGCCCCTTCATTTACAGTTGGTTTATCAGTTCTCTGGGATGGTAGTACTCATCAGAGCTTTCACATACACACATACACTTAGGAATAATTAATTCCATGCATATAGTACTTTTCATACCACAAAGCTGCAAGATACTTTAACAGCTTTGGGCTTGTTCCTCCACCTGCTAAAACAGATGGTGTTTTGCTTTGACTCCAGTGGGAGCAGAGCTGGCTATGTGCATATATTTCTATTCAAAGGATGCACTGACTCTTCAAAGAGGACACTGAAGTCCAATTTAAGCATGGAATGCTTAAAATTCTCCATGTCAAGGAGACTTGAAAGCACACATGCCTGCTGGGAGTACATGCCCTTTATGCAACAGCAAACTCCTTGTTTAGGACATATAGTAGCAAATAATAGTTACTGTTGAAAACATAAGGAGGATTTCAGTGAGTATAATACATTCACGTAGGTTCCAATCTGGCAGCCATGCAGGAGCTAAAGCATATGTTTTCTTTGAGGAAAAAAAGGTACCATACGATCTTCAAATGCTTACACCATACTAGAAACTGTATCATCTCTCACCCAAAGACAAAATCAGATGAAAAAAGAAAACACCCATCCATTTCTCGAAACACGCTTCCTCATTTTGGAGGCTGGCTACCTTGTAATCATCATAAAACTTACCGGCAACATCAACATGGTACCTGGGGGACCTGCTAAACCATCAGCACCAGGGAGACCAGGGCGACCAGGTGGACCCTAAGAGAACAAAGGGATGAGAGAAGAACGGGTGAGAACAAAAAGATAGTCATATAAGATAAACCTTTTGAGTCACTCACACACACTCGTATTCATAATGACGCACTTGGAGGTTTAATATTCTCTCTGCAAATGGTTTGGGAATGTTATTCATTATTAGTGAGGTAATTAACGAACTGAGTTTGGGGAAGACATTCGGCAATAGGGAAGAAAGCTATTCTCTTTAATTATCTTACTTACAAATTATATTAAAAAAAAGGAGTACGGAGCACTTAATTACAGAGGCTCTGCTCATGATTTCATAGGCTGGGCTGAGCTGAGCTTTGCATTGTGTTCCAGTGTTTGCTTTACTTGATACAGAGAACTAACACTCCTGATGCTCTTTAAACCCTTTGAGTAGGCTTAATTTACAAAGGCTACATAAGTCCTGCAGCTATGACTCGAAATCTATATGAAATCTAATTCTCCCTTAGAGTTTAAAAAGAGCTAAACTTTTTGTGTAAGCTGGAGTTGAAGAAATGTACCATGTGTGTACGTGATGCTCCTAATTATTGATCCAACACGCTGCATAGATAAATACTGCCGTTGTGACAACCATCAGATTTACAATTGCACCTTTCCTCCCAGCAATTTGCATGCTGCATTTTTACTAGCTGAAGTCAGGGCAGGAAGGACCTGCATCAGGAGTGCTCATTTGCCTGCTGCATGCCTGCCAAACAAAGTACTCATTCACCAGAACGGCTCTCTGCAGGGTTGCAATGACAGACCAACAAACATCAAACTGTCTTAACGGGTTCCTTCTGCTGCTCAGGAGTTGAACAAAACAATGGGAATCCGAAAAATTTTCGTGTTTTTTCCCCTCTTCAAGAACTAAGATCAGTAGTCTGTAACTGAGTCTGTTTGAGCTCTTTTTTCAAAAAAGCCTGAAGCATTGAAAAATAATTCCCTACTAATAACAGACTACAGATAAATCTTAAATTATTACTAATTCAGATGTGAAATATTGAATAAAATGTTGTAATTGTTAAAAAGAACCATTATAAATACAGGGAGTTTTGAGTTAAGGTTAAAAATTAGAAAAATAATTAAATGCACTTGCAAAGCACCCAAAGAACCTTCACTCTGACCTGCAGTGACTTTATGCCATATGATTATGAGTCTTTGTGAAGATTAGAACTGAAAGATTAGATCAGAAGATGAAGATTAGATTACTGAAGATGAATCTGAAGATTAGATTAGTTTTCACTGTCTTCTTCCATTGCACCATTTTATGTGAGTGAAATTCATCCCCACCGTAAGCAAAAGTGGGACCACTTATGGTCCTCTCCAGAAGGGTATGTTCATTCATTTCTCAATTGTCTTATACCCATCATTAGGATTAGAATGATACAGTAATTTAGTACAGAAGCTGAAGCACCATAGGCAACTACAAAAAGTGGTGGATTTCTCAGCTAATTGTTCTGTAGTTCCACGCTTAAACAACATTCTCAATTATTCTAGGTATTAATTCGGGCTTTTTAAAATTAAGCAATGTGCTTTTCTTGAGTGGTAATTTTCTCAGAATGTTACTTTTCTAAACTTTTTACCTAAGACGAAAAGTAGTCAGAATAGTTATAGCAAGAGCTAGAGCCTTTATTCACATACACTGTTGTTTAAGTAAAAACCCAAACCTGTCCACATACGTTTAAAATTTGAAGTAAGACATGTTATTTCATTAGGATGGAATCTGACAGCAGAATCTGGTTGCAGAAATCTGTATTGTTCTCATGAGTTTGGTAACTCATTTCTACAATTATTTATTTGTGTAATGTGTCCTTTTTTATATAAAACATGAAGTCTGTTCCACGACAGGGACATGATGTGTTTAGTCAATTTTATAAGTTTAAATTCCAAAATATGTTGTTTAGTTAATCTTCAGGAAACAAATATGAAAGAAGTGTGGATGCTGACTTACTATCAAGGTGAAGCATTGTTGGAATTTTAATATTACGTCATTATTCAGTGAAGCAATAGCATCTTCTCAACATCTTCTATACACAAATAGAGCATGAACATGCTAGACTCGTCAGTAAACTATCACTCATAAAACTCAGGAAAGTTTTTTTGTAGCCTATTTTCCTCAAATAAATGTATTTAGGCTGTTTCAAAATTGTGTTAGTTATGGTGGTAAGAAAAGGCTTGTGAGAACACGTCAGACTAAAATAATAGCTTAAATTTCAGTTATATTCATGACTGGATAGGGTTCTCATTCAGTATGTTATTTAATATGGCCAATATATTCTGCCTAGATCATCTAAATATTATCCATCACTTTCAACATAACCACGTGTATTTTGATTCTGCAGAGCTTGTTTTTCTCTGTATCTCTACATGTTATAGCTGGTCATACTGATTTTTTTAAAACTCATTCAAATCCGTATGAAATGTTTGTACTTACTGCTTTATTATATTTTAAAATCACATCAAAACAGAGAAATATAGACAAATAGGAACTTAACTTTTTTCCTGTATTTACAGTACATATTTCTACCACTAAGGAAATGTTTATCCAGATTCTCAGTTGATTTGATCAGCTGAGTAAAGTTCCATTGAAGTTTCTTAACCTATGTGTATATATTTCAGATCAGGATCTAACGCGCTTACTCTTGTAGCAATTAGTGCAAGACATACCGTGAATACCCAGGATAATCTCTGTCGACTTACCCTTTCACCAGGGTCACCTGGAGGACCAACAGGACCTTGTAGACCTGGGGGACCTGTAAGACCCTATGGAAAATGAATGACATTATTATGCTGAATGGCAGCTTGCAGCATTTTTGAACTATTTTTTCTCTGGGAAGTTATGTTGGACAAATATTTGGATAAAATAATTATAAGGCGGTATACTTTTTTGTCTTACAAAGATTTATAGTCAACATTCAAAAGTTTGGTTTTCATGTGCACTCAGCCTGTAGCATGCCATCACTGAAAATGCTGGAGACGACCCTTTTTTACTCCCTTCTATAAATGCTAAGTCCAATATACCATTTGGGAACTATGATAAGACCAATATTAATTGCATTAACTCATGAATACCAAAGCACAGTGGACAAATCAAAGGCAATAAAAGGAAATTGTGATTAATCTACTTACAGCAGGTCCTCTTGGTCCCGGTGGTCCTTCAATGAGCATACCCTAGGGGGGAATGAAAAAAGATACTGAATTGGTTGTGTCTTGGAGAAAACTATAAAACACCTTTTTAGCTGAACTACTAAAGTCACTATTTCTTAGCGTTTTGATAAACTTTTCTGGGGATCTTCTCTCCACAGTTACTAGAATTGGAATCTGAATTGCTGCATGGCTTTAAAAGTGAGAAAGACTGCTAGGCTGGAGGCATCTCATAGTACTTGATTCAAAATATTTAGGTTTTTTTTAATGCTTTTCAAGGATTTGATGTGAACAGCTCTGGCTATTTCTATGTTGTGGGTCTTATAGCACCTCCTAGTTCCTTTTTTTGAGTGCAGACACTAGTCCAAATTCCAGGCCATGGTAAGACCTACGAATACATGATCCTCACTTGTACTTGGCTTTCCATAGGAAGGAGGACTGGACAAACAAGCTTGAAGCTAGCTGTAGTGAACTCCAACAATGTTGGAGATTGGCAGTGGATACCTCTTCAGTATTTTGGATGTAAACTAAATGTATCTTGCAATGGTTTAAAAAAGCCATGCATTTTATGAGCTAACACGCTCTGAGCTTCTTCACAGAACACGACTGAGAGGTCACAGTCTTGACTTGTAACTTGTTCATTATTGTAGTCCTTTAACTCTGGTGATCAGTAACTTAGCCAAATGCTAATCCTAGGGTCGGAATATTGAATTAAAAGGGAGCTTTTGGGTCACGGAGTCCAGACCTTTGATATTTAGGTAACAATAGCACATCATAGTATTTTATCAGGCTTCAACTTAAGCTAATTTTTTCCCTTGATATTTCTGTACCTAATTTTCTATGAAATAAAAACCAGATTAAACTTTAATTTCTATTTCGGTCAAACACATATTTGAAAGCAGTCCTTGAAAATTCGAGAAGAGTAAACCACACTGGCATTCAACTCCTGCTAGGTATTATAAAATGATTATTTTTGTATAATCTGTGTCTTCTTTTTAATTCAGTTACATTTTAGTTTCTAACTGTCAAGCATGACACTACAGTAAACTTTGTCCTACTGTAAAAGCCACTTAGTTACTATACTACTATTTAAAGATGAGAAAAAGTCTGTAAGCTACTGACCCATTACTGTGCTTATGACCAAGCTGTAACCTCCGAAGAAAGTATTTAATTAAACTTTTAGCAGTTTGATCGCACCAGCACAGGTTAAACATACAAGCATTTGTTTAACTTCTCAGAGGGACTTCTGTGCCCTTGTTGAGACCTGTAGTTACAGAGTTACCTGTGCCTAAGCGGGAAGCTATCTCTGTAAGTCTGTCCAAGACGTAGTTAATAAATGGCCTGAAGAGCAGATTGATGCTCTGTTTTCCTCTGCACAAGAAGATTCTCCTTGCTTTAAGGAACATGTGGTTAGTCCTTTGTGTAACCGAAAGAGAAGGCTGAACAGGCTACTGTCTGTTATCACTTTTACACCATCCACACTGCAGGTGATTGTTTCAGAGATCACGGATAAGGTTACTGTCATCCTATCATGAACAACAGGGTTTGATAATGATGTATCAACAGTGTACATATACAGTGCTAAAGGAAAACTCACCCACATCTGTACTTACAGGTTCAATCACAGCTGGTTCTCCCTTTTGGCCTTTTTCTCCATAAGCCCCGTGTCCAGTCACCTGGCCAGTAAAAACAGCCCCCAAAATGAAAATAAGTAGAAGGTCTAAGGACCTGGTACAATAAAGAACAGCAGCAACCTGTAACTGAAAGCTAAAGCTGGAACTGATCTGTGCTATGAAAAACACATCACAGGCACAAACCATATAAATCAAAAATATGTAATACATGAGAAATGGAAAATGCAGAAACTGCATGCATACTTTTCAAACTATTGGATATTGTCCATTTGTAGTTTTCCAATGAGATGCAATAGTTTGCATCCCGTGGTTTGCATTAGGACTTTGGACTAAGAATCTATAACTTCCGTGTGCAAGTCATAAAGTTGTTTCTTTTCTTATTTGAATGGACATATTCTTGGCAATTAACAGTGAGTCTTCATGGCTTTCTGAGTTAAGCAAGCCTAAAGTAAGCTGGAAAGAAAGATCCCTTGGTCCCATATGGACAGTACCCTTCAAGCTCCTAACTTCATTCATTAGACGTCCACAACGTGGATTAGTCTGAGAAGAGTCTATGACTTCATGGCATAAATGGGAAAGGTGTTAAGTGGCATGGTAAACATTAAATAGTATTTCATGGATAGCCAGTTATGCCTCCTAACTACATGAATTAGCATCAACTGCAAAATTCTTTTAGGATCAGCTCTACGGGAAGTTTTGGGTTCAGGATTAAGATAACAGAAGTACCTAAAACAATAGGTCAATAACACATGCTAGTGGCAGAACACAGACAGACTCAAGCTTCGAACAAAGAAAAAGAAAATGATTTTTTTTTTTTTCAAAACAGGACATATGTATTTTTCTTCAGAATTACCTCTCTTGGTTGCTAACATGTCCACTGCAAACTAGAAATTAAATTCAGCTCTTTCCAGAAGAAAATTTGAAATGCTTTTTTATTTCAGTAGAGTTATTCCATGTTTACACTAAAATAGCTGGGGATTTGAAAATGTTAAGGATAATGTTACAGTATTTCAATATGAAATATTTTGGAAAGAAAAAACAGAGATATAGGTTCATGGCTTGTGCATTTTGTACTGATTTATAAAGGCACAGATCTCACTAGTAACGATGCAATAGTTCATAAAAATCAAGTAGCAAGAGGTATAGATAAATATGTTTTATTATATTAATGAAAATTGGTTGTAAAAAATCACATCAGGTCTCCATCTTTGGAAATATTGCCCCTTTTTTGAAAGTTTCCAGGTACTGAGTACTTTTCACCTTGCCTTTTTTAACAGAGGTAGAACTTCACTTGTTCCAAATACATCCATATGTCAAAGGAAAATGATATGATATAATCTGGTTCAGCAGATGAGAGTTGTAATAAAGCTGGCACAGGTCAGAGCCTGGGTTCTAATTCAAGCTTCCTGACTCCTTCAGTTCTGTAGTAAGGCATTTTAAGTTGAAATTTACACCAGGGGATAGAGTCTACACAGTCATTTGCTTAATGCAGGCACAAATGGTGCCTTATGGGCTCTTTGCTTTGCAGATAATCTGACCTTTTCTGTGTCATTCTGCCACAGTGTCCCCATCTGTGCTAGAAGGAAAAAAGTAAGCTTGTATCACATTGCATAGATAAGGATCATTAAAAAATACAATGACCCCAACAGGGTTTAGAAAGGAGTGATAAATGAAATACAGAAGCATGGGTTTCAAGGTTGGCAGAGAAAAGCAACCTCACAGCATTTGCTGTTATTTCTTGGATCCTTTGTAAACTGAAGTTTGGAGTTTCTGAGGAGAAAATAAAGATAAGACTGAGCAAATACTGCAAACAGAATTCTCCTTTCCTACTATATTCAGGGCCTTCCCAATTAAAAATCCAAGCAGGAATTATTTTGCTTCCAGTCTTAGTCACAGTAATTTTCTTTGCAGCTTCCACAGTCCGGTAAACTGGTAAACAAGGATCTTGGCACAACTAAAGGAAAATTAAAGCCTTGCTCTTAAGCCTGTGATTAAGTCAGAGGGAAAGAGAGAGCTATAAAACACAAAAAAGAGCATGATTCACAGGATCCACCATGTCATCCTATCTTTCTTTATATATACTGATCCGTTAAATCACTCCTGCAAGGTCATAAACCTGTCACCATTGACTAAGCTTATTTTCATGAAAGGGTTCAGACCTTCACCTTCCCACTCATCAACTTTCTCCTTGGAAAGCAGCAGAAGCCATAGGATTCTAGACACTTATATGCATTTCAACTTCTTAGGGTAATCATATAAAAATATTAATTACAGTACTTGCACCTGCATTAGAACTTACATTCTTTCCAGCTTTAGCTCTAGTTTAGAAAGATTTTTAAAACTGTTCATTTTATCATTTAGTTTTGGAATTCCACCTCCTCTTTCCATTCCCTCCCATCTTCAACCCTCCCTGATTCCCTTCACCAAAAGAGACAAAACCCCTGCATTTAATAAAAATAAAAAGTTCAGGATTACTAAAACAAGAGGATGGGCTTGATCCAAAGCCTATCAAAAGTGAGAATATATCTAATACGTACAAGGAGCTCTGGATCAGGCTCTGTACAGTTCTGAGACTTTTCATGAAAGGGTTCAGACCTTCACCTTCCCACTCATCAACTTTCTCCTTGGAAAGCAGCAGAAGCCATAGGATTCTAGACACTTATATGCATTTCAACTTCTTAGGGTAATCATATAAAAATATTAATTACAGTACTTGCACCTGCATTAGAACTTACATTCTTTCCAGCTTTAGCTCTAGTTTAGAAAGATTTTTAAAACTGTTCATTTTATCATTTAGTTTTGGAATTCCACCTCCTCTTTCCATTCCCTCCCATCTTCAACCCTCCCTGATTCCCTTCACCAAAAGAGACAAAACCCCTGCATTTAATAAAAATAAAAAGTTCAGGATTACTAAAACAAGAGGATGGGCTTGATCCAAAGCCTATCAAAAGTGAGAATATATCTAATACGTACAAGGAGCTCTGGATCAGGCTCTGTACAGTTCTGAGACCGTACAACAATAAAGAAACACTAAATTAAATTAATCTGCATTATGCCTTCAATCAACTTACGCTCGTTTCTGTGATATCGGTCTCTGCAGGAACACCTGGACCAAACTCCTCATTAGTGGAATCAGTTGGTTTCTCTTCATATTCTTTATATTCATAAAAATCATATTCGCCTAAATCTCCATCTACCAGCAGATCAGATTCACTGAGGTCTACTCCTTTGTTTCCATATTCAGTTTCCTCAGTTTTTTTATCATAATCCTCTCCAGTTATGTATTCTTCAGCAAATACTTCTTCAGCGGGATTTTGCTATTCATATCAGTAGCAAAGATTTGGGAATAGGAGGAATAAGTGAGTTACTGTTAGTAAAGCAATGTAAGCATATGCTGATCCACCATGATGACTTGTCAAAAGAAGAAAGAACAGTAGAACTACAGCATACCGTCTTTTAATTAGAGTCTGAAGGAATGGAAGGTCAGCCTTTCAGAGTAATTAAAAGATCTTTGTATAAGTAGTACAAAGAAGTAATGCTTTCATACGCTTTTTTCTTTAATTTCCAAAACCATTGAAATCAATATATCCAGCACACTATGTGTACTGCTTGCTTAATGTTACTTTAGTGCCAAATATAGCTAAATTTCCTTGCTTGGTTTCACGCTTACAAGCATTCATGAATGAACATATGCACCGCAATGAGCAGTGAATAAATTCAGACCTTTTTACAATAACAATGTACAGGAAGTGCAAGCATCGCTTTAGTTAAGCCTTCTTTATTATTTTGTGTCTACAAATACCAATGCTGAGCTAAATGTTTCAACTTCTTTTCTCTTGTTAATGATTTTGCAGTTTCTTTATTACTCAAAAAGGCATGGTTCATGTCTGTCATGGCAATTTATGTATTTTTTGGCTGAGTCAAATTCCACCTGCAAAACTCAGATTCATTTTAACATTTCTGAAATCTCAGCTTTCATCTCCAAGTCTGTAAACTGTCAAACCAAGCAACCAACTTACAAGCACCGAAGCAGTTTAAAAGAATGCTATATTTGAGATGTACAAAACCATTTGCGAAAAAAAAGAGGATTGCTTTATTCTGTTACAGAGGTCTCTTGAAAGGATAATTTTGAAAGAAATCAAAGTTCAGATATTGCTAATATGAGACGGATATTCTAGATGGTCAAAAAAGATGAACTAGTACGATCTTTAAAAATATATTAAAACTCTAATCAACATCCAGAGTAATTAAAAATATCTTGATCTAACCATGATATTGAAATATATTGCAATTAAAATAGAAGGCCAGATTCTGATTTAACAGGTGCCTAATTCCATTAGCTACAGGACTATGACTTTTGCCTTACAGCTAGAGTAAATGCGGATCTGAACCAATTCTAAGCCAAATTTTGCCTTTATGCAGAACTGCTCTCGCTAAGGAAAGCATTTAGCACTTTGGAACCACCTCCTAACAACTGTACTATTGTACGACTGGCCTATAATTGCCCAAGAAACAGAATGATATAAATATGCCTCCGTCGATCAAGTTCTGAGAAGTAAACATGAGATTTAACACAAGAACAGTTTACAGTAGAATGAGCAAAATGTATCTTAATTCACCTTCACCTTCCAAGATACATAGGAGGAAAACCAAAAAACAAATGGGGACTCTCTTTCTCTTTTCAAATGTTTGGGGGCAGTTTTGTACATCTTTTAAGCAACATATCTTCATTTTGAAAGGAAAACGTAAAATAAAAATGAAAACAATACTTCTTATAATCAGCCATCATTTTTCTAAAACTAGCATTAATTAATATGCAGACATATTAATCAACACTGGCTTTAGGTGCAGTAATCTTAACAAAATAATGTTTAGGCTTGTCATTGTGGCTTTCTAAAAACGTGGTTTCTAACATAAGTGAAAATAATCATTTTATCTTTTTTGACAGTTCAAAATACAATGTTTCATAGAACCTCAGTGAAAAGCAAATAATTTGGTTTTGTTAGCTGAAGAACTATTAAAAGGAAATGATGGCTTCTGACTCAACTTCAATATGCTGCCATTCTTTGTCTTGTGTTAGGCTCATTTTATGCTGCATCTTAAAAGTTACAGGAAGAATTAGAGACTTCACTTCCTCTTAGATTAGGAGGACTATGTCTAGTATTTAACCTAGTTCATACTAGACATAGCCCCATTCACATCCACACTGAATGCAACAAACCTGCATTTCCACAGCAAATATCATCGAATGATTTCCAGAATCATGAACTCTGCAGTCTAAAGATTCAGCAGATCTCTACAGAATTAATGGGAGTTCTGCCCAAGAAAATAGTAGGTTCTGATATTGCTGAGAAAGCATAAATTTGCATTAATTGCTGTTATGCATAGATATGTGTATTTACACAGATGGACATTCATCCTTTTAAAATGTGTTTGTGCTTCTTCAGTCATTGACACCTGGTGGGCAAGTATTTTTGTCTATCATTTTCTCAAGAGTCCTTATTACCTCATTTGCTTCCGTGGTTCTGGAGGGAGCTTCTGTCTGGGGCCCATAGTCATTTTCAGCTATGCTATACTCTTGAAATCCATCAACAACGTTTGCCTAGTATGAAAGAAAAGGTACATTATTAAAAAAAATCTTGTAGGAAAAATTCAAGAGGTATCACTTTTATTCAGGTTATGGTATTAGCCAGCCGTATTCATCTAGTGGGGTTAGGTATATTTTTTCTTATTATCAGAGATCTTCCAGTCTTGGCCTGGGAAAGATCTTGATTATTGCTTGGCTACCTTTACCCCTAGTTTGTCTTTTGTTGCTGCTTGATAACTTTTCTTCTTCTTGGATGCATAGTTTTCAGATTTTTTTGTTGTGGCCTTTTGGGGTTTGTCCTTTGAGCTAGCGGCCACTGTCCTCTTCTTCTTTTTGACCATGGCTTTCTTTTTCTGCAAACGTTATGAAAGATGGAATGGGAAAACATAAATAAAATGAAAAGAAAATCGAGAAAGCATGAATGAAAGAAGGGTAACCAAATGTGAGATGAATGCTGTCAGCCGTGAGACCTTCCATCTCTAACTGAAAGCAAGTGTTACAGCTACAGAGTAAAGAAATGAGTGGAAGGAAAACATTAAGCTTATACACAGAAGACACAAATTGACAAACCATGTGGTAGGGGACAGCTGGACACCACACAACAAACAGATCAGATTCTGTTACCTCTGTTTGTGCTACTGTCTCTTCGAACAGTGGGGGTCCCTCTGTTACAGAATCAGTTTCTTTATAATCTGCATCCCCATACTCATAGTCATATTCGATAAAATCTTCCGGTGTGTACTACATTGCAAATGGAAAAATATCAGGCATTCCCATGTTAGTGGTAGCAAACTAGATTAGCAATACTGGAAAGCATCTTAACCTTTACTTAGGAGTAAAGCTTAAGAAAATTAAGGTAGTATGAACAATTCAATACAGTTATTCATTTGGAGGAAAAAATACAATTTCTTATTTCTTTCAAAACACAATACAAAAGTAATAAAAAAGCAAGTAGTAGTGCCAGGAAAAAAACTCTCTTTTATTGGACTGCACAGAAGAATCAACTATAATTTGGATTACTGGGAGCACCAACTGACCTTTGTGAAATCATACATTTATTTAATCTTTAAATTGCAAATAATGCCTCTTTTTACCTATATTCTTTACCTGTGTTTTTTTCAGGTGGCCAGAAGAGCAGAGAGTTGCCAATATCTGACATGAATAGGGTAAATAATTTCAGATACAGGAAAGAGGCCACAACTCACAAATAACCATGGCCATCCTCCTCCTTTGCTGGAGAGTTCTCAAAACCGGGGCAGCTCCATGGTACACATTGCCTAACCAAATGCTTTACTGGTATAATTTCATTGAAAGGTCAGATCCTCAGCTGCTGTAAATTGCTCCATAGCTCTGTATCTATAGTAACTAGTATCAAATGAAGATTTGGCCCACAAAACTTTTACAAGAGAAAATGGGTTTAGAATTGGCCTGTGTAATGTTGTGAACACGGTCTAGGGAGCCAGGAACGCCTGAGCTGTAATGTTGGCTGTGCCATGAAGATACTGGTCTAGGTATTACGTGCACTGAGTACTACTCATCACGGCTGAGAAGAAAGGGCAGCTTTAAACTATCTTACCACTCCTGTCATGCTCGAAGCTACAGGAACTGGTTGGTCCTGTAAATGAAAGCAGTCCCATGGCTGCTACCAATTCTCTTTATGTCCCCGGGGAGCCAAAGGAGGGTGGAATTGCGGCCAGAATCTGGCCAAGTGTCTACTTTCCCTTGTTTAGGAAGAAATATTCTAATGTGCCTCATGTGAGCTAGCCACTTCTGAAATCTCCTCTCTCCTGCTACAAGTCAGCATCATTGTCTGTAAAATGAAGACAATATCTGTTTGTTTCATTAGATTGCTGAGAGGATTAGTACCTTACGCTTCCAAATGACTCTGAGGATTCACAGAAGTCATAAATATCATCAGCATCAGAAAGCGATTGACATTTTAGAAGAAATTATAAATGACATTAAACCAGATCTCCATATTCCAAAAGATATTCTACCATGTGACCAAATTACTGGTTTAACTGTTTTCTCTGGCAAAGCCTTTTGATACATTTCTTGTACTTATGATTTTAGTGCGCAGAAAATATGGAGAAGTTGATTTCCTCAAGAAGTATGAGACTAACACTGAAAGGCCTTAATCACTTAAAAATCCCTTTACATGGGTTTCTGTTACTTCACTCCTGTGACTCCTCAGAGTCCTACTATGACCAACCGCTTTTCTTAAAAAGAAGATACGGATTTTTTTAAGAAGCTGGATGCTTTTTATTTGATTGTCCTTTTGATTGTTTCTACACCCATGCCCATATAACTTGGCTAGTCATGAGATTTGATAAACATATAGAAAGAATGTAACATACTTTTGGTAATTGTCCGAAACCATATTGCACATTAATAAGAGAACATCAAACTGCACTTAAATAACAAAACATTTATCATCCTAGGTGGAGAATATCCTCTCTGTGAAGTACATTGGTGCTTTATATCTGCCTGTTATATAAAGTAAGCAACGCTTTGATTTCATCAGTGGTATCATTGGCATTACAGAAATAAGTTGATTCTATTTGTACTTTTCAAAAGCAGCAGCATTTTAGACTTAAACCTGGTAAGTAATATGTGATTATTCTCTCCCTGTTCAGTAAATTAAGATTCAGTCCTAATCCCAGTGAAGTCAATGAAACATCTTTGACTTGTAAATGGTATTGTCCAAGGGCCTCATGGGCAGTGACGATACATTTTTACAGATGTGTAAATGTATAAAAACATGTTTTCTGGCTTGTGCAGTTCTGAAAATGCAACTCAATACAACTTGTTTCTAATGAAGTAGGCCACTGACATCCAGAAAAGAAAACACAGTGACAAGTTTCTAGGAGACCATAAGCAGCCACATAAAGGAAGTAAAGAGAAGAAATAACCACATGGATGACAACAGCCGCTTTGAAATACAGAATAGCATTGAAATTGCTGTATTTCTTTGGAAATTATAAAAATGTGTGCAAATGCATAAAATCTAATTTGCTTTTCTACTGTCAAGAAGTCTATGCAAACTAGGTTGATCTACAAGAAAAAAAAAAGAAGTCTTTAGTGGAATATACCACTTCAAATTCAGTCATTCCGCCCTACCAGTGAAAACCCATTACTTTTAAATGCTTTCCCAGCCAAACAACATGAATCAAACACTCTGCTATGTAATTTTTACCGGTACCAAAACAATAGACGCTACCCATGCTAAATATTATCCAATATCTTAAGGGATAAGTGGAGGAACGTTTTCGAGAGAATTACTGCTTCATTAGCTGGATTTAAATTTAAATATGCTGTTAGGAGTTTGTTTTAATAACTCCCAGACACATAGATTCCTTTTTAGTAAGCATTGTAAACCTATTCTGAAGCTGGAAGCATTCATTCCAGCATTCGTTTTGACCAATTAAGAATTAAAATATAACTCTGTGTTGCTCAGTATTACAACTGTTTTTCAAATCTCAGTAGTATGGCTTCCCTCAAGGTAAGCTGAATGGCTGTGCTGAACTGTGCCAACTATGCGACTAATAAAATTACAACAGTGGGTTACAAAAAGTTCTTCAGAGGCCATAAACTAAACAGAAATGTTGACTGGAAAAAAAAAGAAAGGAAAAATATCTGTGCCAAGTATGTTAGTATTAAAAAAGAAAGTGGTGAACAAATTGATATTTATGCTAAGATCTGCCAGAGGCATAGTTTGGAAAGCCAGACATTTATGAATGAGAACTAGAAAACACTCATACAAAAAAGCATGAGTATGTGGAGAGATCTATTGCATCATGCATAATCACACAGAAAATACTTTACTTTTGGGTATTGTGCTTCACTCATTTCTATTAAAGAAAATGAAACTTTCTTGACATATGCAAAATATTATCACAAATAGAGTGGTACATTTGGGTTGCAATGATATGCAGGCACACAGACAAAAAGAACAGGAATGGGTGAGAAGTGGGGAATGCCAGTTTCCATGCTGGAAATCAGATTACTGCCAAGCAAGTGAAGATCTTCTCCATGGACTTTTTTTTCTTCCTTTTTAAGAGCACAGTATCACAGGGGTATTACAGAAATTCTTGAACCTACAAGCTAGGACATGTGGCCACCATGCTGAAACCATATTCAAGGAGTTTCTAATTGGCAGTACTTTGTAGTCCCCCTGGTACAAGGGGGACAAGTGGGAATATGCAGTAGCCCTGAACTTCCTACATAGAAAGATGTTATTCTTAGCAATCCTTCCTTTCCAGACGTTTCTTTCTGAAAGACCAGCAACCCCAGCCTTTCACACCAGCCAATAAACAGAGAGAATATGTTTTGTGCTGTACTGCACAGGTCCTGTTGCAGATAGTGAAATATAGATGCAAAATCTTCCAGGTGTATTTCCTGAGGCACAATCTGTCCAGATGGAGGAATGCATCTCTACACCCCGAACTGGTGTAAAGATGTACTTTAGAAATATGATTTACTCCACAGCATGATTTTATCAACTCAACCTGATAAACGCTATTCCCCATTTTTAAGATGAGACAACCGGACTGGTGAAGGACTGGCCAGTTAAATGAAGACTAAATCAACAAACACCAGGAACAGATTTAATGGAGTGAATAATGGGGCTTTAGTCACCCGCTGTGAAGCTGGCAACTCACACTTACCCTGCCATTAACAGTCAAGATTGGACATGTCGCACATATCGCTTCTTTTTTTGGAGCTACACAACTACGAGGTCACCTTTATTAGATGACCAGAGACAGAGGTATGACCCACTCAGTTTGAGGCCTCAACAAACCTTGAGAAAAGTGCCTTCACAGTTTGGATGCTAACATTTCTGAGTGCAAAACCCATGCTATTGCAGGCCTTGCTATTAGTTCACAGAAGCCGGGGAGTTCACAGAAATCTGTCATGGTTGCACTGCTAATCAAAGGAAAGAGAATAAGTAAACTCTTGAAAATATAGGAGAAAGCATGTAGAATTTCAAAATTAATTAACGCAAATGGAAAAGTATCTTCTGCCACTTTCTAAATTTAGTCAAGACTACCAACTCTAGCAAGAAATCAAAGCAAGGAATGAAAGCAAGTGTGACAGAGATGAAAAGTGTAGTTGAAGAGAGCATCATTTGTTTCGTTAGCTATATACCAAAGGACGATATTACTGGCCAGGAATGCAGCCAGAGAATCAGGAAGCTGGAATGGGATTTAAAGGGGTGTTCAGCTTGCGGATCATTCTGATGATCCTTCTATGGGTGCAGACTTAGCCAAGTGCAAAATATACCTACCACGGCTGTGCAGCATTACTTCAGTCCTGCTCAAGAGCTCTGTCTATGAAAGTTTACCGAAACCCTAATACTGCTAGATACTGGGATGGTTACAAATCTGAGACAGCAGAGATGAGATGCACCAAGTGCTCATAGAAATAGCAAAATAGATACAACTGTATCGACTTTTCCAGTGATTTCACATGAATATCAAAAAGATTGACTCAAAATTGTATCTTCAACTTGGACAATAGCCGGAACTTGGTGAGGAATTTCAGCTAAGAGACATCAGGTAACACATACTTCAAATGTGATGCAATTTTCTGCTGTTTTTCTTTCTTCTCTTGTAAGACCACCAATAGTTACAGAACAGCCATTCTTGTAATGAATATTGCATATGACTGTTTTCTTACAAACGAAAGGAAGAATAAAACCTGCTGTTTCTTGATGGGACAAAATCTTTCCACTATGACCT